AATAGTTAAGGCAATCACGCTCAAGGTTGTCAGCTGACTTTGTCAAGGCATTATAAAAAGAGAGAAAATGAGTAAAATACGAAAGAAATTAAAGAAAAAAAACCTTATTCCTTCTTTCCTCCTGATTTGTAAATACCTAGAATGGTGGTTTGAGGTGAAGGGAATTGAAGCAAATTGAATAAGTAATTCACAAGGTGTCACTGAATTCTAGATGTTGTTTTGTTTGTTAGCCTTTTTTTAAAAAAAGTTCCACTTTCACCTTTAGTTCAATAAATTAAAAATGAAAGTGGAACTTGTTTATATGTGATAAGCACTGTACAGTTATAAGGGAGTTTGTATCCTGGAAAACTTGCATTTTGTGTAAGACTAAATCAAATAGATACTAAAGGAGGAACAGCAAAATAAAATGTTTTTCATTATTTTTCCTCAAATATTTATTTGATAACTCATTGACATGCAGATGATTCCCAGGTGTGTGTGTTTGGTGGTTGTGTGTTTTTGTTTTTTGTTTTGCATCATTTAGTTTGCTAGTCAGCAGTTTTTTTCCGGGCATTTTTTTTTTTTTTTTTTTTTTTTGGAGACGTATGCTGCGAGTAAAATGTAAATATGACTAAATTAATTGAATGTGGGCCATTTTGGTGAGAATAGGTCCAGGGACCTCACTGAATATGAGAAAGCTTTCATGGTGACTGAAGACCTATCAGGAAAAGGAGGTGCAGTCTGATTAGTGTTGTGGGCAGTGGAGTCGTTCTCAGTTCCTAGCCAAACTGAAGAACTGCTCAGCGTTGGGCATCTAAAACTTCTGGTCTTCAACACTTCCCCTGTGCCTACAGATACTTTTCACATCTAAATAGGTGCATATGTAACAAAACAAGTAGTTCGAAATATCTTAAGCTGCAATAAGTCTGATTGCTTTGAAATGCAGAGTGCTCCCAAGATAACAAAACTTCAGCTTCAGTAGGAAGCTGAAATACAGTAAATGGATTATTCCATAATGTCTTACTAAAGTTTTCTATTTTATGGAAAGAAAATGAGTTAAATAGTGAGGATTTTTGAGTAACGTTGTTTGTACATGGTAGCATAATCTGGATATGATATGTGATGTGTAGTCATACACTTCATATTTTTGTTTAATAGAATGGCTTGAGTAGATGGAAGAAAGGATTTTTTGAAGCATTCTGGGCTGTTAATCATTGGAAAGCAAGGGGGTTGGAATACATTGTCAGCTTTCCATTTTAGAAATGGCTTTCTGAAAATGATTTTGGGGAATTAAATGTAGAAGAATGGAGAGGTTGACAGGCTGGGTTAATAGTTACTCCATAGTTAATAATAGTTAATTGTTTGAAGTTAATGCAAATAACTCATTATCAGTGCAGTCAAAAAACTCACGATCTATAATTTAAGACTTCTTTTTTGTCTAAGAAGTTGGGATTTTGTGCATGGGGGTTAAATCTGCAAACAAAATATTTAAGAATTTTGGATGATTTGCTTACAAAATAGTGATATTGACAGGGACACATGATGAACTAGTTAAGAGTTAACTGCAAGTCCTGTACTTTGTTTGAAGGGTTGTTTTTTTTTTTCCTCCTCTAACTTCACAAGGTTTTGCTGTAGGATTCTTAAGTATTTCATAATGTGTGTGTGCTAGGATATGGGTCTTTTAATGTCTGCTTTGACTAATCCCAAGTTCTTTAAATTAGTCTAACAAGTCTGTGTGCGTGTGTGTTTTCACTTCAAATGTAATGTTTCAGTGGCACCTTGCTTTTATGTTTAGCGGTGGATAGTGTGTTTACTTTTTAAACTGATATGAGAACTATGCATTTATTAAAGACAAATGAATAAAAAGATGCTAGCAAATTAAACACTTAACCACATATTTCTATTTGCTGCTTTGGTGTGAAATTATTGACAGTTTTCTTAAATCTTGGGCAGCTAGAATTTGAATTAGGTGAAACAGGAGAGAATAATTGCCATGAATTTCTGTGGTAAAAGTTCAGTTGAGTATCTATGGAATTTACATAGCACATGAAATTACATCAAACATGCATTGCATTTTGCAGTTCCAGAAAGTTACTAGAGGGAATTTCAGTAGGAATTACAGGAACAAATCCTATTTCCTTTTATTTTTCTGCAGAAAGTTTCCTGAATGTAATGGGATTTCTGTGCTTCTACCTGCTATGGTAATTTTCAGGTCTTAAAGATGTGTGTTAATGCTCTTTCTCTCTTTGGGGATTTTCCTGGGTTCTCCTGCATAGATAGGGTTGAAGATTTGAAGAGTCAAAATTGATTTAGGATAAGGGATATATACATATATATATATATATCCACCCACCCACCCTGACTCTTGCTGTATCAGTATAAAAACAACAGGATTGAAGGTGCTGAGTCACCCCAAGAAGTGGAGCATCGGCTGTAAAGGGTTTTGCAGGCAGATGGGATAATCTTTATCAGCTACTCAACTGCTTCTCAAAATTGAACATGTGGGCTGATTTTTAAAATTATTATTTAAGAATCAAAATGTAAGTTTTATTTATACTTCAAAATTAAGGAATATTTTGGCTAGAAAGCTCCGTGTTTTAGTCTGAGCTTCAAAATCACTTTCAAATCTTACTGCATGCCTTTAGTTATTTAAATGGCCATTTTCTGTGAAAGTTGTAAGTAATATATTTTCTTTAAAAAGCCCCTCAGGTTTTCTCTGGTATGCACTCCTGATTGATACTAAAGTAATTAGGAGTTACTATGCCATTTAACAACAGCTCCCTGTTGAACCATATGACCTTTGGGGTCTGATACTAAACCTAGGAAGATGAACAAAATACAAATTGTTGTGTTTACAAGGAGACCTTCAACTTGCACCCAAAACAAGTTTCCATGCACCCTTTTTTTTAATATTATGTCTCTTTCTTATTATCAACATTTTATCTTAAAGAAGGATGACCTGGGTTCACTTTTGCCTCAAGTAGAAATTTCTTTAAGTGTAGTGCAGATAAGAGAGACGGGAAGAGCTGCTCTTAAGGGGAATCCAGTGTGGAAGTAGCCCGGTCTATGCCAGCTATTGAACCCCGGGCTAAGTGGTCTCCTACGCCTTGCAGCGCAGCCCCTTTTATGTTGCACTGAAAAGGTATCCGGCAAATGGATCCTTGAGATACCTTGTGTGGTATCACAACAAATGGATCCTTGAGAGAAATTCCGACACTTCCTTCCCTCCTGTACCACCCCTTTGTGCCAGCTGATGTGGCCTGGATAGTCTGTATCTGTTGTGATTGGAATAAGTTGTGTTGTGCTGATTAGCAGTCAGAGAAGGAGACTTGCTTTTCTGGTGCCTTTCATTAAAAGGAAAGTGTTTTCTGCAAGCCAGCATGCTTGATGGGAAGGATGCTATAAATTTTGTTTCCAGAGCTACAGTTTTGTTTTTGCTGAAGTAAACTGTGGGCTTGCTAACCAGCATCCTCATCTTTCTCTTCATTTTTGCTCTGGTTTCCTCTGGCCCGTGCCACTGACTTTATCTTGTGCTTTATCTCAGTTTTTAATTTCCTTTCTCTTGAGCAGTCTTAATTTCTTTTAGTATTACCCATATTTTGATACAACTATTTTTTTAAAGAGATGAAAAAGTATATTTATCAAAAAGCACCTCTAGATCACTCCTGAGCCATTCAGCATGTTTTTTTTAGCCTTTTTATCTGTGACATTATAGTGTCTTGCCATAAAGGAGGTTATGATCATGTAAGAGTAATTCTTATTTTTAAATTCCAATAAGATACTTCAGATTTAGTTTAGAAAGAAAATGCTGTTACAAAAGATTTAAAGTACCGAAAGCTTTAGTTAAAATATTTGAAGAGCTAAATCTAAATCTAGAACATCCACTGCTTATTTCTGTCTGTCTTCTCACCATGTTTTCATTTTCATCCTTCCTGTGGAAGCTGATTGTTGCTTGTCATTACTCAGCAAGGACCTTGTGTGTTCTGCAGCAAAGTGAGTTGCGTTAGCAACACTACTCAATCCCATTTTAAATTTTTGCAGCCACAAGAAAGATGCAGTTTCTTCATGTTTTCTTCTTTGCAGTGTCGCATTTTCACATATATACCCCATAGATCAGCGTCTCTTGAAATCTTACTAATTTGAAAAAAGCCATGGGGTAATTCACATGCTCAGATAACTTGAATGTTGTGTATTCAGGAATAAAGGTATTGTAGGAATCGAAACAGTAGAAGATGGGGAGGAGGGGAGCTGGAAAAAACAGATGTTGGATGGCAGAGGACCAGGCTTTGCTGGAGAAAATGTGCCAGGTAGACTACTCAAGGTGTTGTCCCCAAGCTGTTGAGGTACCATAGCTGTGTTTTTGCCAATAGCCCACTTATATTAAGTATACACATACATATGTGTTCCTGCAGACTTAATGTATGTAAGGAAGAGTTAGCATTTCAGTGCATGCTGCATTTCAGAAGTTTTTAAAATAGTGCTAGTCTTACAGGCCTGTCAAATTTGGCCTTTTAACTTCAAAAAAAATAGCTGTCTGCTCCATCCTTTTCATTAAAAGCTTTTTTTTTTCTCATCTTCGTGTTGGGTTATGTTCACAAAGCAGACAACATGGCAGAACTTGCATAAGATGTTTATGAACATCTTAGTACTAACTTCTGAATTAATCTTTCTAGTTTTTCTGCATACTAATGTATCTTTATAGAAAAAATTAAATATATTGTACCAAATAGTAGCTTAATATACAATGAAAACTGTCTGGTGTTTTAATTTATATAGACCCTTTTATTGCCTTAGACCCATTTATTGCCTCAGGTAACAAGCTTAATAAAATTCATGCTAAATCTTAGCAGGCTTGTTAAAATATTCTTGATTTCTAAACATTGTTAAATATATTTTTATTGCATGCTGAAGCTGAAATACACATATTACAGTATGTCGTAAAGGTCAGATCCTGCTATCTTAGCTGTGTATAATGAATTCTTCTCCTTAATGTTTTCTTTTTTTGTTGTGGTTTATTGTAGGTTGGCTGGAGTACTTCAAGAGATTATTACACGTTTGTTTGGTCACCTATGCCAGAAAATTATGTGGAAGGATCGACTGTTAATTGTGTGCTGGTATTTCAAGGTAATGAAAGAATGCAGCATCAGCCTCTATTTGCTAGCTTTCACTGATCTATAAGACTATAGGTTAAAATGCCGTGTAACAGTTTAAGGTTTTTAAAAACACAGATTGGGAGAGATTTTTGCATGTATGTCTTCAGTGTGCTTTGTTGTTGTTGTGTCACCTGTGTTGAGTTTATTCTAATTTTAGATATGAAAAAAGGCTGTAAGATAAGTGGATTATGGTGTTTATTATTAATTTTTAAGTAGTAGGAGCTGTCAATACCAGGTGACAGGTTCAAACGGAGATAGAGGTGGTACTTTTATAAAGCCGATGTGTAGAATTTTCTGTGTATTATGGATCTACACATGCCTATAGGTCTACAAACCTGCATTTTAAAAAAGCACCTCCCCCCTCCCTACAGTTGGCTTTACACTTTATATATGTACGTGTGTGTGTGTGTGTGTGTCTCAATGTCATACAGTACTGAAGTCCAGAAGGGCTACTGGATTGGTTGGTTGACTTATTAAAAATTATGGTTTTGTCTACAGCTGCAAATAATAATAGCTTGAGTTGATCTACTGTTCTTTCTCTTGCCTTCTAGACAGGTTTTCTGTTAGCTTTGATGATAATCATATAAAATGGTCAGAAAATAGTCAGATCATGTGAGTAACTTTAAATCCTGTCAAACATATATTTCTCCTCTAGAGGCTGAGAAACTCATCCATTTTTCTACAGTTATCAAAAATGTTCTGGCTATTAATGAATGACACTGGGTTGGACTTGGGACTACAAGTCATGTAGAAACCAAGGGCTTTACATCCTCTTATCAGTTCCTTTGGGTTATCCAGTGTTTTTCTGTGTGCTATAGCTTGTGTGTGGTGTCATCTGTTACCTTCTTTGCTCAAAGTCCATCTCTTTTATGGAGCTGCCAGATTTCCATTCAAACAACCTTCCTGTTGTGTTTGAAATATTTTAGGACTACTTAAAGCTTACAGGAGATTCATTATCTGAGATAAATGAGACTCCTGTATAGCATGTTTTAACTATCTTTGTATGATCAAATAGGTATGCTGAGGGAAAAAAAATACAGGAGTGTGTTCTCTCTGGTACATCTTTGATACCAGAGAAAAGATTTTAAAAATCAACTTGAACCAGCTAAAAAACTTTCTAGAGCTGCAGGATAGATTGTTCTGAGTTAATTGTTCTGTGTAGCTCTGCCTTATTTAAACTTCGAATTGCGTAAAAGGGACTTAAAAGTGCAGTCATATGTAGGAGAATGTAGTCGGGTCCAAAAGTACAGAATGCCATAGTAACCTGTTCTTCACTGAGCTACATTTAATAAAGTAGAAGAGCCAATGAAAATGAAGTATTGTGTAATATCTGGGCTGTCCATGCAGTGAATTTTTCCATTTGTTAAAAAAGTAGGTAAGAGTACTGTGAAAAACCTTTAGGGTGTCTGGAATATAAGTTGAATATCTAATTAAAATAGAGTTTTTTTTTTTTTTCTTGTGGTCTAGAGAAGTTTTTGGTTAATTTACTTATATTTAGATTTCATTATTTTGGTGGCACTTAAAAGTGACTTTAGAAATGTACATTATGCATTCAGGCATTTTTGGTATCTTTCTCGTCTCTGATAATGGGCAAAATGAATTACGTAACCTGATAGAATGAGGAAAGAGAGTGGGGTGTGTGTGTGTGTGAGAGAGAGAGAGAGAGAGAGAGAGAGAGAGAGAGAGAGAATAAAAAGATACTCATGACAAAACACTCTTTAAATTTTTGTGGTATTCAACATCTGTTTCTGGAAGTACTGGGCATTTAGTTAGTGAATGGAATTTAATGATAAGAACGGTAATGGAAGGGTAAATAAATGGATTAAATCATGGTGAAATATGGACAGATGTGGATAACAGCACCTGCCACTGAATATTTATTTAAAAATAAAGTGGACTCAGTAGGTCAAATGTTAGGTGGGGATTTAGTATGCTGGAATCTTCCCTAAGCTATTTAGGGTGTCTGATAATTCAGCATTCTAAATTAAGCTGGGCGGGTTTTTTAGCATTAAATTGAGTAGCATGTACTTCCTTGTATTAACTAATAAAGGTAAAAATGTCAGTAGTTCTAGAAATGATTTAACACCCACAAGCATGTGAATTCAAGTGTTGTAAGGGGCTTCGAAGATATAGTGGGCAACAGTTGAATTCAATAGTCACCCTGAAATAATTGCTAATTGGTGTATGTAGTATTATGTATATAAGAAAGGCAACTCATTCTCTCTTTAAGAAAAACCTTTTGCTCTAGTTTTTCTTGATTTCAGAAAACAAACTCTTAATTAAGCTTTTTTATTTAATTCAGTTTTTCAGAAAACTCTTAGTTAAGCCTTTTTATTTAATTTAGTTTTCTGTCGGTGCTTGCAGAATGGATCACATGACGTGATCCATTCAGAGGAGGATCACTCCTCTGACCATTCAGAGGAGTTCCTTGTTTTGGCACCTAATGCAATAGTGGTGTGTGTGTGTTTATTTTTTATTCCATTCAAACATGTAAAATAGGACCTTTACCTTGAACCTGGTAAAGTTGCAGACTTCTTGTCTTATTTTTATTCTGTCTTTAGTTGTTGTTTTGATTCTATAAAGTGGTTGGAAGGGTACTAGGAATATTTTTTCTGTGTTTGCACAGCAGTTGCATAATCAGTCCTGATCCACTTATAAAACTTAAGGATTTTTCATTGCTGATGACTAAATCTACTTCATATGCACATATTCAGCTATTATCTAATGTGTTATAAGGTGATGTTTATATATAGCACCTTTTACCTGATTTTTTTTTCTAGGCCTTCATGTTCTATAATAATAAAAGTGAGGACACAGGGAGGAGAGGGACTAAATGTGGTGGCTTTACCTTCTACCATTTGACAGTTTTTGTGCTGAATGTGAAAGCCTAAGTCATATGTGATCTAATAATATATTTCAAGATGGGGAATTGCATAATAAATCTATTTTTGTGTAAAATTATTCTTTAAATACAAATTTATTTTGATAGGATATTATCTGCCAAATGATGATGGGGAATTTTACCAGTTCTGTTACGTGACGCATAAAGGCGAGATCCGTGGAGCAAGTACTCCCTTTCAGTTTCGGACCTCGTCCCCTGTTGAAGAGTTGCTCACTATGGAAGATGAAGGAAACTCTGATATGTTAGTGGTGACGACAAAAGCTGGACTACTCGAGGTTTGATTCACCAGTTCACAAAATGTTACCCATCTGCTTATTATGCGTATTTCTAGCTTTTTGTTTAATATTTGATAGATGAGCCAGCAGACCACTTGCAGGTTAAGCGAGTAAATGTTTAAGGTGGTTACAGATATGGTATTGCACTGAGGATAGACTGGGAAGCCATGGGAGTTGCTCAGCTTCCCCATCTACACTGGCCACTGTACTAAGTAAATAGGCCAGTATTTCAAATATAGCTTTCTGTTTGGAGGGGAGTGGGAAAAGAAGATATCTTTTGTGTGAAACGGTGCTCATTGAAGGGCAGAAGAATTGAGTTAACTCCTATGCTCTTATTTGTATGCAACTGAGGAGTCCTGATAGCTGAGCTGAGTAATTGCAGGTGCCTAAATGAGTTAGAATAGCTCATTTTTTTCAAGTAGTTTTCTGCCTATTCTGCCTTTGTCTTTGCTGATTTGATGTGCGTAGACTTGCATACTTGCATCTAGAGTCAAGACAGTTCCAACTGTTTGGAGTTTCATAGGCTGAAACCTCCTTTAAAAATGTTTGTGAGAGTTGTTTTTCAGAAAATTGCTCTTAAGTTTGCTATCAGATGTTATTCTTTCAGTTCCCTTTATGCACGTATATAACACATTTCATTTATAGCTTTCAAAATTTAAAGACAAGAGACTCTGTGCAGAGATATAGCTGGATTATTTTTGCTTCTCCAGTCTTGGGAGTATAGATTTCAGTGCTAAAACTGAAGAAAGACTTTTCCAAACCCTTGTGACTGTCCCTGTTGATGTGCTTCTCCTTACTTCTGGATATGTGTGCATTCAGTATTTCATGAAATTACTCAAACATTGTTTTAATGTGCATGTCTACACTCAACAGCCTTTTCTCACCAAGCTGTCATCATCTTAATTAGCTCTTCCACAGTTGTGGTCACTTGGGAACAGTAAAAGCACTCACTTAAGGAGGAAAACTTGAGTATAAATAAAGACACTACAAAATGTGCTGTCTAATGGTGATGTAGTACTAATCAGTTAAAAGAATGAAATTTCAGAAATGGAGGAAGAATAAAGCTGAAATACTCTAGCCGGAGAATGCATGTGCTTTGTGGTTCTGCTTAAATGTAGGAGTAACTAGTTCTCCATTTGTTTAATAGGAATCCTGGGGAGAAAAATTATCAAAAAAAGAATGTTTTTCTTTTTACAGTTTAAAATTGAAAAAATAATAAAAGAAAAAGAAGAGCTATTAAAGGTAACTGCTGTTCTGGAAAAGGAAACTGCACAACTCAGAGATGAAGTTGAAAGACTGGAAAAAGAACTTAACCATGAAAAACAGAGATGTGAGCAACTGCAAACAGAGCAAAAGGTTAGTTGTATAACTGATTAAAGCTGATGCATAATGTCTGTAATCCTCCTTTTTTAAGAACCAATTAAACTGGGTGAAAATCAGCTATCAAAAACCCTCAGCAGTTGGATAGACATTTACACTAGAATAGGTCAGTTCCTATTAACCTCCTGCCACTATTCCTTTTATGTCGTAAAATGCTTAAAATATTTAAGGCTTTTGGTACCAGGCTTGGTAAGATAATCGATGACAGCTGTTACCAGATGTTTGACATTTAATTGTGGAATTCATAGTGGAAAGTAGTTGATAGTTTAAAGTTTGCTTACATTAGTTAAAACTGGAGGAAGGCTTTTTAGTTAAAACTGGAGGAAGGCTTTTTAAATAACGCCCATTAAGAAATAATTATATAAGAATACACAGTTTTGGGAATAGGGAGGAAAAATTTTGGAACTATAAAACAACATTAAGACTCAACAAAGAATGCTCCTGCCAGAGTATATAGAATGTAAAGAGCAACTTGTGACTTCCCTAAAAGGCTTCACAAAAGTCTGAAGATTTCCTAGGGGGGACTGAAGAAAATACTGAAAAATTAAGTTAGTGTTAATTGGTAGTGGAAATATAAATGTAGCTAAAACTAGAGCAAGTTTAATTTGGTACCTTACATCTGGTAAGGAGGAAATCTAATACCGTAGTGAAAGGTATACAAAAGTCAGACCTAATCCATTTTTAAGCTGCTCCTTTTTGAAAAAAAACAACTTTTAGGAGAAGATTGAAAACATGTGGGAGGGAGGTGGTGACATGAACAAATTTGAAGTAATGAAGCCTATATAATTTAGCTGTGGACAGGAGTTAATAGGCTATTTCTAAATGCTAGTATGTATATGTCAGCAGTTCTGCAAGATACACCTTTAAAAGGAAGGGATTTGTAGGAATTAGAAACTGTTAAAACTTTGTATCTACAATGGTAGATAAGGGAAAGAAAAGACTGAGATCCATATATATATATATATATATATATATATATATGTATATTCAAGTGCAAATCTTGCTTGTAAAAGAATTATTTTAATTTCAAGAATGTGTGAGGGCTAGTTTAGATCAGCAACACTAGAATTAAATCCTAATGTGCGTTTTGTGTATTTGCTTGATGTTCCAATAGGGAGCTTGAGGGGTAAAACTGAATGAGTTTGGCTGTCATCTGAGGTTCTAATTTAAAAAAAACAATTTGTGTAAATAAATTGTGATTTCTAATACACATTATCTCTACTACTCATTTTAAGAAACAACTTGATAAATTGAATTTTGCAAGCTGGCCAGCAGTATATCATATACAGACAGGCTGCATAAGAGCAAGATGCATACTATGTTGTGCTTACCTATGAGTTTTTTAGAACTTAAAAAAAATCGGAATTTAACTGCAGGAATATTTTATGGCTTGTTGTGGGCTGGTGTTTTGTTCAAATGGTGATGTATTGTGATGAACTTCTGCTTATGGTTCAGGTAAGCAAATGTCAGAGGGAAGACTAGCTACTACTACCCTTCATCTATCTACAAGACAGTAGGATTTTGCTGCTGCAGGGTTGTGATTTTATTTATACTTTTCCTTTACATGTCTCAAATCTCTGACAGATTGCTTCCTTTTGCATTCCAGTCTGTTTTGACCTTTTGAAGGTTTTTCTTAGTTGAAACTTTTCTTTCATTTACCTTAATAAGCAAAATAGAAATCTTGTGTCGCTCTTGAACAACCAAAATTTAATTTCACTAAATCAGGCAGAGTAAACTCTAATATGGAGCAAGTTATTTAAAAAAAAAATATATATATATATATATATAGCTTTCTATTGAACCCTTCCAAACCTGAAGATGACTGTCTGTCTTCCTCCTTTACCCTTACCTCCCTCTATCGATACTTAGTTTAGCTTCAGATGAAGGGAATATATGTTTTGTCTTTGCTAGGAACATAAATATTCCTGAACTGCAATTATATACTACGTAATGAAAATAACCAGGCTTTATTTTCTTCAAGTTTTTTATTTATATATTTAAGCAGACTGGTAAGCTCCATATGACATAAGTATAGACTTGTAATAGACTTAATGCATTAATTCAGCCATTTAAAAAGCAAAAAAGAAAGACATCCTGAATAATCAAAATACAGTTAAAATCTGTATGACCGCAGAACATTCCCCTACCCTGTGCTTAGTGTGAGGTGGACTACTTTTTTTTTTTGTTGTTTATTTAAGCCATTAAGTTAAAAAACAATTGTTATACCCTTTTGTCAGTGCTCTCTTTTTGTATGCACATTGATTTTTTTTTTTTTTTAGTTATGCTCTAAATTCTGTTAAGTAAATAGAATAAAAAGTGGTGCTAGGTCACGAAAGACTTCAAATACAGTGTACTTTTATTTTAATAGAAATTAAGATCCAATACTTACAGTTTCTTCTTAAACTAAAAAGGAAATGGTATTTAGTGTTTGTAATTACTCTGTTTTCTTATATGTACCATTTTGCTTTAATAAATGTTTGCCATTAACCTAGTGTTCCCTGAAATATATTGAAAGATGTGTTTTAAAGCCTTTATATATTTGGAGTTCTATATTGAAATAAACTAATTTTTAAAAAGTCTTTCATAAAGACTTCATAGACTATCTGTTACGAGCATATTATTATTTACGCAACTTTTTGCCAAGAAATGCGCAAATATTTCTGTTTGACCAAAAGGCCCTATAAAATATGACACTAGTGCAAAGTATTGTATTTAAATAGCAGAATTTGTATGAGTGAAGGACATGGGTGTTTGTTTAGACGTGTGTTTTATTCTGTGTGAGTGCAAAGCTGCTTCCACCGCTAGTGTGTTAGCGACTGCTCTTTCTTATTATGTTTATTCTGAAGGCTTGGAGACATGAACCTCCCTAAGAAATACAGGGCAGCTTTCTTTCCTCCTTTTTCTTTCCAACCTCTTTGTTTTGCAAATAAGTCGGAAGTGTTTGAGAAATGTAGAATGGGAGACTCCCTAGCACAGGTAGCCACAGGCAGATCCAGCTCTATCCAAATTGCAGATTTCCTCCCACGCTTGATGTTTTTGCTTCCTTCCCCCGTGTAGCTGCTGGCAGAGCACTGGGCAGTAGTTGGGCTGTCCTCCGTTCTGGGTTTTGCCTAGCTGCAATGCTTTGTAAGTGGGTCTTTGATGTTGCTGTTCAGGGATGTGCAATTTTTTATTTCATTCTTACATGATGTCATGCCAAAGTTGGGCTGAGGATCAAATTAATTCAGGGCATAAAGTAGTTCTATATTGTTAGGGTTGCAGAAACGCTGCTTCTGGGTCTTGCATGCCAGCATTGCAGTCACTTCTTGTCTCTAAGGGTTTGATCTTTTAGAAAAGGTGAAGAAAACAGAAAGCAAAATTTAAGTATTATTTTTATGTGTGTGCGCATATATGTATAAATGCATGTATCGTTACATAAGATAAGTATATGTAATGTTTTATACACTGCATTATGTGTATATAATACTTGTTAGTGTAAAGACAAAGGCGGCAGGTTTTTTTAGTCTTTATACATAACAGTTTTAAGATGGATACTCAAACTATGTGTAAGCTCCAAGTGCCCTTGCCTGCAATTTTTAAGGTTTAGTGTTACTATCTTGAAGGAAAAGAACACTCTCTAATCATGGTGTTGGTCTTTCATCCATTTGCTCTTCTGACACTGTATTGCTACAGAACTTTGTAAATACAGCTTTTGTATTTCTGTAGAAGGAGTGGAGTTTGCAAATCTGATCCGTTTGCAGTCAGCTGCCTCCCTCTAGTGGTCAAAAGATACTTCTGAGCTGTTTCCTATAATGTTACAGTGGTGCCAAGTCTTCTTAGTGCTTTGGTGGCTTTCTTAAATGTTTAACATAGATTAAAAGGAGCCAGGTTACAGATTACCTGCCCTGCAGGTATTTGGATAATGTTTCCATGTGCATGATGTTGGCATAAGTTGGGGCAGAAATGAATTTGCTGGCTTTAGAAACTTTTCTTTCATCATCTCTTTCAAAGTTAGTTATGCCATTTGACTTTTTTTAATTGGTCAATTTATCTATCTGATAAGTACTATTGATAGGGTATCATGTAAATTCAGGTACTCCTTAGGTGATGTGTCTGCTATTTACTAGTTTTATTCAAATATCGGGCATCCATTCGAGTTGACTCCTGATGCTGTTTTATAAGGAGTGTTCCTCTGGCTAGACTGTTACAGATGTTGTGCAGTGTCATATGTTTGTATGACTGTAAGTGTTCAGACTATATGCATAAAAATAAATCAAACATTTTAATCTGCTCTTTAAAATCAAGATGTGGAGGCTTTTTGGATAGTGCTTATCCTAAAAAGTAATGGTCAGCATCTCTTTTTGGGTTTGTTTGTTTTTTTGTTTTTTTTATCATGGAGGACATAAAATGATAACGATTTAAATGCACAAATCAAAACTCAATTACTTGTGCTGACACCAACAATTATAGCCCCTCACGTTGCTGCAAACATCCTATGAAGAGAGAATCCGAATTTGCTGTGTTAGTATTTTAAATGTGCTTGTTTTGTTTTAAAAACTTTTAAAATAGATTTAATGAAATTTATTTCACTGGGTAGTTGGCCTGTTTGGGATATCATGAAATGTTTTGGATAGGCATCCTGCTTAGCCTAACTTTTAGTTCAAGTGATTTATTGTTTATTGTTTTGACCATTTGAAAAAGTTATAGTATTCTGTAGGAATTATAAAAAGTTTTAAGAAATTTACATCTTGGAATGCAAATGCAGTAAAATCGTAGTCAGTGTTTCTGTAGATGTGCAGTATTGTCTGCCTCTTGCAGAATATTTGCATGTTTGTAACTGCTGCGACACTAAAAGATGACAGATGCCACTTAGATGAACGTTTGCAGAGTTTAGCCTAAATCTGAAATCAAGCATACAGTATTTATTCTGTTTAACAGTGTTAGTTGACTGGACTAACATATTCATGTTACTGCTGTAGCTGTTAAGTGTGATTCTGTTAGATTTTTGGAATACTAATTGCCACTTCTAAAATCATGAACATTAAACTCCATTTTCATCATAAACTCTTGCTTTTCAGCATCTGTAGAAGCACTCTGATCTATGAAGATATCTTTCAGAAATATATTTACTTTTTTCATGGAAAACGATGACTTGTTTTTACTGTTGAGAGACAGAGGCTTTATTCCTCAGTCTCTTGCACCATAATCAAAACATCCTTGCATTCAAAACAGTACTTCTTTTAAAGACTTATTTTGTGATTTCAAAACCAGAACTACCTTTTCTGCCAGATCCTGCAGCCTTTTCCACCTCATCGGTTTAAATGTTATAAATACAGCCTGTCATGAAAGACACTAAAAGGACTGGGTTTGTGTGTGTGGTGTGTGGTTTTTAAAGCAGTTTTTCTATTGCCAATCATGGTCATGAAGATAAAGGCTCCTAATAATGATTAGGATTTTTTGTTCTGGGAGCTTTTGTTTTGCAGTAGTGAAACTGAGTAAAGTAATTTCTGGTGCCTTATTCTGGTCCATGCTATGCAGTTTCGTTCCCTACCCCTTAATCTACCCATAATACCATTTCAGGTGCTGTATTTGTAACTTGGATTAAAGAAATGATCCAAAGAGAAAATAGTGTTAAGATTGTCAGATGTTCTTAAGCCAGATCATTAAAATGATCTGTACTCTTTTTTTTTTTCTGTTACGAGAGTGGAAGGAGAGATTAGAATGAGTATATAATGTGTAGTACTTTATAGAATATAATATACATGTATAGAATACATATATTGCTTTGCAAGTAGTTTAAATTACTGTTTGCTTCATTTTTAATCATCTTTTCTGTGTATTAGAGGTTGTACATATAGTTAGTGTGGTTTTTATATTCTTCCACTCTTGACTCCTCCTAAAATATAGTTCCCTGTGCAAATAAAGTAGTCTAAGAGCACTCATTTTAAATTTTACAGGCTCTGGAACCACTGTAATGAGAGTGTAAGAGACTAGGATTGCAGCATCTAAATTGAATTGCTAAAAATGCTGTAGAATAACAAGTCGTTTCTAAAAAAATAATCCTCTCTCAAAACTGTAGGCTTTATTTGTATCTAAACAAGTTTATTAGGTGAGAATCTGTTAAGTGTGGAATTTTTACATTTTAATGCCATGTCCCTCTAGAATAACTAGCAAAGCAGCATCAATTGTAATGCTGTTTGTGGAGTGTATTTTTTCAGGCTATTAATTCCTTTTAATATATGTTACCTTTGGCAGGCTGTTTGAACTGTTTGTACAGTTTGTATATATAATGTATCAGATTAAGTTCTTTTGAAGGCACTTGGGTTACAACGGCTACAGTTATGCCCAAGTGGTGTTTAGAGAAAACACAGATATGCATTGAAAGAGACTTTTTACTATACTGCTTTCAAAACAGGGACAAATAATTAGTCTCCACTGCACAGGGGAAAGGAGGCAGTTCTAGTGTGTGTTGTTACTGCTGGTTATATGGCAAGGTTTCCCTGGAATACTGACTTTAATTAAAATATGCTGCCTTCCCTACTCCGAAGTAATGTGTTTTGGTTGCAGGAAATTGATAGCTTTTCAAAAAAAAAAAACCTTTCAAAAATTGTGTGTCTTCAGCTCCAACATTGTTCTCAACAAAGCAGGCATTCATAGTGCCTTTCTTCACAGAGTTCTTTAGTAGTATATGCTTTAAGTGCTAGCGATTCTGAGAAGTCTGTAGAGCAATTTTGAGTTCAGATAGTTGGAGTGGATTAGTCGTCTTTCCTTTTAAGTAGTATAGGTAACAAAAATTAAAATGTGCATGGTGTGCTAGTGTAAAGTGCAGGAAGTAGTTGAGACATCAGATCAGTTACATTTGCCACCCTAGCAATTACCTCACCAAAAGAAATCATAATGCCTGAACTTCTGTTTAGCTGCTTGTAAAAGCAGGGCTTAATTACACTTGCTAACAGCATATTTTTGACAATTAATGAGTAAAAACAGTTCTCATTATATTTTATTGTACTTAAAACATGGTTAGTTAAGTCAGAATCTGGCCAGTAGGGGTTCTCCATGAGCTCTGGTTCATGCAGTTTCTCCTGAGGAACCAGTACAGTTCTGTTGCCTTGGGGCATTGAGCTTTGTTTAAAAATGAGTAACAAACTAGTGCTTTAATCTTCCAAATGTAAAGTAAAAAGACAACTTGTACCTTTAGTGTCAGCACAAACTCTGTAGGTCGTGTTGTAGTCTGTCACAGTGGTCAGTCTGTCTTGACCTTGTTTATGCTTTGATTCATACCACTGTCATAGTTGATACGAAGTTGAACTTCGCCGAGTTTTGATACCAAAAGTAGTAACACATAGCCTTGTTGTGTGTGCTGCACTCCAGTGTTAACTTTTCTCAAGAAAGTAGCATTATATTAAAATAACTATGCAGGGTTATTTAAGATAATCAGTGATTTTTACTGTGATGGAAACAACTTTTAACTGTCCCCTGCCCAGGACACTCAGCACTAAGTGTTGACTGTTCTGGGCAGGGGACACCACTGCAGCAGTAAGAATAGTGAGTGATGCAGTTGCAGTGGCTTCACATGTGTCATTTTTCAAACAAAGCAGCATTGAAAAGGAAGTAACTTTGGGGTGGTTTTGGACTTCTGCGATGAGAAGAATGGGTCAGTGGATGAGGAGACCACTGGATGTTGTTTACCTTGACTCTAGCAAAGCTTTTAACACTGTCTCCTCTAACATCCTCACAGACAAACTGGTGAAATGTGGGCTAGTGATCAGTAAGGTGGATTGAAAACTGGCTCAACTGAGGGTTGTGATCAGTGACAGAAAGTCTGGCTGGAGGCTGGGCAGTAGTGATACCCCCAGGATCAGTGCTAAGGCCAGTGCTGTTCAACATCTTGAATACTGACCTGGATGAGAGGGAGCAAGTTCACAGGTGACAGAAAGCTGGCAGGGCTGGCTGGTATAGCAGATAGCTGTGCCGCCATTTGGAGGGACCTTGACAGACTGGAGAAATGGGCAGAGAGGAACCTCATGAAGCAAAGTGTGGAGTCCTTGCAGCTGGAACAGCCGCATACACCGGTACCTCCTGGGGGGGTCCTTTACATAGCACTTTTGCAGGGAAATGACCAAAGGATCCTGGTGGACAAGCTCCAAGCGATGCCCAGTGACAGGACAAGAAGTGCAAACATAAACACAGGAAATGTCATCTGAACTAAGGAAACACCTCTTTCCTGTGAGCTTGGTTGAACACTGAAGCTGGTTGCCCAAAGACGTTATGGAGTCTCCATCCCTGGAGATACTCAAAACCAAACTGGCTGTGCTGCTATAGGTTACATCTTAGAAGCTTCTGTTCTCTAAGACACTAGTGCTGTAATACATTTCATTATCACACTTTCCAAACGTTTGATCTAGCTCTTCATCACCAGAAACGCCTTTATTTCCATTTTTCTCTCATTTTTCCTGCAGCTGTCTTAGCTGTGGCTTGACTAAATTAGCTACCTGGTCAAATGCAAACTCTGATTTCAGGTAAAAGTTGAGTAAAAGTCTACAAACCAAAGTAGATGTTGTTCAGGTGTTTTAAGCCAGATGAACTGCGCCTAGCTCACAGAGAGGCGGCCAAGAAATTTGAGTTGTCTTTTTTTATCTTGCACTCTGAAGTCTTTGGTAGTCTGTGCGTAACTGGGTGCTTGTGCCAAATCAGGAACTCCTTACTGAGCCTCTTGTCCTTTGTGTTTGTACACTGCTTGTTTTTTCAGTAGTTGTCTAAAACTCTAGCATTTACGGTTTGGATTTGCAAACAATCTTTTCATCTGAAGAGCTTCTTTCCCAAAGTTCTCCTGTCCTTCTCTGGCATCCTTTTTGGTCTCTTCAATAGTTGTTTTGTTCCCATATGTTTTGTTCTCTTCTTTCCCCATTAGAAAATACATAGTGAAACCTGTGGCAGTGAAGAACAGTATTTTAGCACTTTTAACTGTAGAAGGAGGTGAGATATTACGTTCCACTGATTGTCCCCCAGCTGTGCTTCATACCAAGCAAGAATGAGTTGTGTTTTTCAAAGATATTCTCATCTAATTAATTTTTTTTTTTTGGCTCACATTCTCAGAATACATCTTCCTCTTATGTATCTCGATCTTGACTGCTTATCCTCTTAGTCTTTTCTTATGTCTTTTCTCTCTTTCTGGTGCCCTTTAAGGGTAAAGCGTGCGTTGTAGGTAATTGGCATCATTCAAAGATAGAAAAAAATGAATATACATAGCATGTTTAGCATATTTTTATACCAGATTGGCAGTTTGAAAAGGGCTTGTCATGCTTTTTAGAGAATAGAGGAAACCTAATGACTATCTTCCTTTATATTATAACTTTACATGTGCTCTGAAATGAAAGCAGTGTCTCTGTATTTTAGCATTCATTCAGATAACATTTTGTTGTTCTGAAGATGTGTATTCTTAAATGATGTGTACTTGCAATTTTTTTAAGACTAATATTCAAACATCAGAAGCTCTTAAGACTGAAAATGATGATCTGAAAAAGAAGCATGATGAGGCTGCTTCAAAAGTTCTCCAGCTTGAAGAAGATATCATGACTGTTACACAAAAAGCCATTGCAAAAGAAACAGAGCTAGACAGGTATTTAGTCATTTCTCCCTTACCTTCCAAGTTTTACTTTTTCTTTCCACTAGTTCTTTTAAGGTATACGCATATATGAATTAATTTCCTTTGGTAACAATTCTCTACTATTAATTTGTTAATTTCTTAGTCTGAAGGACAAACTGAAGAAAGTAAGCCTTGAGAAGGAGCAGCTTGAATGTGTGTTAAAGACTGAAAAGGATGAAAAAGAACTTTATAAGGTAATTTATTCCATCTCCCCGTATACACTGAAATAAAGTGACTTGAAATAAGGGTAATAACATTTTATAGAGAGGTGTGATAAATTGGATGTTGAGGAAGAAAGGAAATGGGTCGTTTCTGTGAACACTTTTTTAAGATAGTTACAAATGCTGTTAGATAAAAATGAATGAGGAAAATAGCATTTGAATTTCTGCAAGGATATAAAAATGTCCTAAGGAAGAGGATACATAACTACTTTTTAAAATGCAGGCACAGTAACCTAAAGTAATAGATGTTAGCTGGATGGTTCTTTAATTCTACAATGCATCACCTGGTAATTGTCTTAACGTAACTGTGAAAAAGAAAATTACTTTTTATTATTATAACTTTCTCCAGGATATGTTTTCTGGATCCGTATTCTTTGAGTCTGGTGCATAGCTGAGAAACTTTATCAGGATCCATGTTGCATTGATTTAATAGTATAGCAGGCTCCTTTTGCTGATATTGGGAAGCAGTCCTATTACAAAAATAATCTCACAAGTAATCTTGAAGTGGACTTTCTTTGGACTATTTGAAGTGAGCTAATAGAACCACTCTGAGCACAGTAAACATGTATATTTATTTCTGTGTATATAAATATGCGCATTTGTATATATCGACCTCTTGTACTAGTCTGTCCAATTTGATGTGACCCTTTGCTTAGAAAAGTAGCTGAAGAAGCTGTTCAGGAAATGTTACCCCTTATCGGACCTGAGTCGATAACTGTTGCTTTCATATTACTGCTCTTTTTTTCATTATTTTTGGTTTATATGCTAGTATGATTAAACCTTTTAAGTTGTGAAGCAGTTTAGGCATATTGAAAGGATTACTTGCCTTCGTAGGAGAAAGCCTTTATGTGGCAAAGTTAGATTTGCTTCCGAAGTCATATTAAAATTTCAAAACTTTTTTCTCAAGGGTGGAATCCCTTTGTGAGTGGTACAAGTCTTTTAGTTTTTGAGCGGAGAAGACTGACGTACAACAATTCTTGTTTACTATGCATAATAAAGTAGACTTGGTGACATCTTAAAGACAGCTTTTTTTAGAAGTGCATATTGCTGTGTAATCCTGTTTGCTTAGATGATTGTAAATAGATACTACTAGAAGATTAATTTCTTTTTAGCTTTCTTGCAATCATTTTGCTGGGTGTTAGTGTTCTTCATTTGTGAAGAGAGGAGCTAATTTTCAAAAGTCAAGTTTGATGTGGACTGAAATCAGGGTCTGAACTTCTAGTTGTGGAGTGGAACTGTGAGTTGAAGATCCTTCTGAAAGGATTCTGGACAGAAAATTTGTATTGCGAGAATAGTGATATTGTTAAATGTTTAATTTTTCTCTTTACGTATTCTAATCCTTCTGAGATGAGTTAAAATATAGTAAGCACTTAATTGGACAGGTAGTGGCCTTTATAATGTGGAAGAAGAATTTGACATTTTTTAGCATCATTGCAGATACACTTGAAGAATACAGAAATAGAAAACACCAAACTAGTGAAAGAGATCCAGATGCTTAAGAATTCAGATGCAAACAAAGAAAACATGATAACGTATTATAAAGAGGAGGTTGGCAGATTACAGCTATTTGTAGCAGAGAAAGAAAATATGAAGAAAGCTTTTTTGCTCTCCTCATCTAACAAGGTAAGCATTGGTATTGTAATTGGCCTGGTTAAAAATAAATCTAAAGTCCGTAAATTTTTAAAGTCTCTGATGAAAGAAAGGAGGAATTTGAAGGAACAGGCTGGGAGGTAGGAGGATGATTGTTTCCTCAGCAAATACAGAAAATGAGCAAAGAAGAAAGTGAATTAGTTTTGCTCATTCTGAGCATGTTAAGAAGAGTTTGATATATGAGAAGGTAAGACAGGTGAGGCAAGCCAGGTGTAAAGAATTAATTTGTAAATTCAGGAAGATGGTGTGTTTCTGTGAGTTGTTACACCTTCATGAAAAAGGACAGTGAGGAAAAGTAAAGGATGTAGCCACACTGAACTTGTAGAGGTTAAGGAGAAAAGCGGAGATGTTGAAAGACGTGCTGAAGGGCAAATGTTAGGTGAGTGTGCCATCAATAATAAAATGTAAAACCTCAAGAAGTATAAGATACCACATAAATGGATAAAAGCAAATGAGAAATGCAGGTGCTGAAGGCACAGTGTCTGCACTGTCCGTGTTCCAGGGTGGGGCGTTCCAGAGATTGGATCTCTGTTAGTCGTGTTAACTTTGTTCAGTTTCACCCAATGGAAACCAGTCCCTGTGCCCTGAGACTGTTCTGTGATGTGAAGTGTGACAAGGTGGCATCGCTGGGGGATTTGCTCCACAAATGTGCTGTAATCTGAGCTAGAGAGCTAATTTAGGCATAGCTTTTGCTGGGTCAGCAAAGAAAAGTCGGACTGTGCAGACTGCCTTTTACTGCTGACTTGTGTATCTTGTCAGTCTGCTTGCTGGAAAAGTAATTTAGATCTTAAAGGAATAGAAATTGCATTAAAGCAATGTGAATTATGAATATAAAATTGTAGTAGTAAAGTAGTGCTATTGAGAATTAAAATAGTAAGAACTCAGTGCTCTAAATTAGAACACATTCTTTTTGTCTTTTGCTTTTGATTTGACATGTTAAACTGCTACAATACTTCAAAATAAAAAACTTATAATGTGTGTGCCAGAATTGGAACAAGCAAAAATCTATCAGTCTTGCATTATGAAGCCAATTAATCTGCTGAAATGCAACTGATGTGTAGTCTGCCATGGAAAATAGGAAGGGGATGGGACTTCCAGAAGTCTCCTAGTACATCTACCTGCATAAATGTTTGCAAAGTACATTAGTATTCCACTGGACAACCTGCTATGTAATTCAAAAAATTAACAGGGAGCACACCAGGAATACCTGAAGTTATGTCTAGAGTAAGAATATGAGATTACTATGCCTTCAGGAGACTGAGGGACTGAGAGTGGCTTGTAGCAGCTTTTTCTTTTTGTGATCCTGGGCTTTTGTGAGGGATAAGAGGCCGAAGTGCAGCTTGGTCAGTGGATCCTTGGGCTGCCCTATGGGCTGCCGTGACCATGATGGTGTTAGAGTGCTTCATGCTGCAGTTCACACCCTTGCTTTTTGCTCTCAGCTGTCTTGGAAAGCTTGTTGAGCAAGATCTTGGGAAATGGAGTTGTATGAACAACCTCCCAAAGCTCTTTTGCACAGTGTCTGCACTAAGGAATCTTACATAATGCCATTGTAGGCATTTTAAGGCCTTTTATTCTGTTGTGGCCTGCACTGTCTTACCGGGAAATGAACTTTGGTTTTGAAATTGGATGACTGTTTATCTTATTGGTGCTTAAAATTAAATCTGAAAATTCAACAAAAACATAGAATAGGTAAAGTAACATTTAACTGTGTTTTGAGGTATTGATTGCTCACAGCCATTTATATCATGGTGAAATATGATTGTACACACTCATTAGCAGACAAAATGTATGGAGAAAATGATACTCCTGTGCAACCTCACTGTTTTATTTTATTTATTTTTCTTTCTCTCAAGCTAAACTTAATTTCTCTTGCAAATTTTCCCAGATTCATAGCAAACTTCGTTTGAACTTTTTGAATTCAAAGGTGATTGATTTCTCCTCTCTCCTCTCTTTTGCAGGAGGATGCAAGTATTTTGAAAGAACAGCTTCGAAAAGCTGAAGATCAGATCCAGGCTAGTAAACAAGAAGCTGTCCTAATGTCAAAAGAGCTGAGTGACGCAGTAAACGTGCGAGATAAGACGATGGCAGATCTTCATAGTGCTCGTCTTGAGAACGAGAAGCTGAAAAAGCAGCTTGCTGATGCTTTAGATGAAATCAAGAAGATCACAACTGTGAAAAATGAACAGGTAAATTGTTGCTTCTTAATACTGAAACTGTATTCACAAAATCTCAGAGATGATTTTGCTAAAATTGGGAAATAATTAGGTGTTTGAATAATTATTAACAAATGATCTCCCGACACTCAGGATACTACCTTTAGTCAAATGTATGTCAGCTTAATTGGAAGGTTTGTAAAAAAGGAAGTTTCTACCTCTTATAGTAACTTTTTTGCCACCCCTTGCCTGATTTATTTTCAAGAACTAATGCAATATTGTTTTAAATCTACTACCTTTCCTAATCCTGAGTGAACTATAGTAGCATGAAAACTCATGCGGATAGAAAAATTGTGGGTGTAGGCTAGTGTGGTGTTTTTTGTTTGTTTTTAACATTCTCTCCTCATTGATGGAATTTCTATGATTCTCAGGAGTCTTTCAGAATTTGTTGTCCAAATTGATTTACTATTTTCATGTACCAGTTTTACAGTTCATCTGAAGCACCTGTGGTAGAGATAGAGTGAGTGTTCTGTATTATAGCTGAGGTCTGCCTGGTTTTGCCCTCTGGCTACGCATGAGCACTTTCTTTAGAAGAATTGAATTTAGATTTTTGGTATCTGTTAGTTTAGCACAGACATTGATTATATCTTTGCTTTGCTTCTCTATTCCTTTGTTTCTCACAAGAAAGCATAGGCTTCCTTCACACTTGTACAGAAAACTTTAGAGGATTTTGTTTGCATTCATTTGAAAAAGAAAAGGCCTTTCGGAAAATAGTACTCAGGAAATTGTTTTGAATAAAAGAGTGAACAGCTTCTGATTGTTTTATTTCTTCCTTTCTTATTTTTTAAGGAAACTTCCAGCACAGTGGAGCATGAGCTGCGCAGAGAAGTTGAAGATCTGAAGCTTCGCCTGCAAATGGCTGCTGACCATTACAAGGAGAAATTCAAAGAGTGTCAAAAACTTCAAAAACAAGTGAACAAATTTACAGAACAGGCAGTAAGTAGACTGGAGAAATTGCATGTACTTACTGTGGCGTTTTAGCACCTATTTATTTTCATTTTGCCAAGGAAAGTGCTTTTAAAAAGGATTAAAATATGTGCTGAGCAGAGACTCTTTCATTTCTTACTTTCTTCTGTAAAGTTAAATTACTTGGGTGATTTTTGTGAAAGCGGTGACGAGCATGGATGTAGGAAGCTTGCGGGGTCTAGTTGAACCTATAATAATTGTTATGCTCAAGGCAGAATTTTGTGACTAAACCGCATGATTAGTTGCCCTTTTTTTTTTTTTTTTTTTTTAAAGTAGTAGTGGAGGAAATGGAAGAAGGCTTCAAAGGATGGTGGGAAGAAAGCTATTGATATTCCGGTCAATTTTTAAGCTTTTTTAATAAATCAGGTGTATACAACCATGATGTCGGCCTTATGCTGCCTAGTAACTAAACCTGTCAACAAAGTTTAAACAACTTTAAGCAATTCTCAAAGCTCTCCAGAAGTCTTTGAAACTGTCTCACAGTCTGTAATTGAGGAGAAAAGAAAGGCTCACGTTGCAGAAATGAGAGAGTGTGAGTAAAGGCGAGATATACAAACACAATACCTGGAAAAACAGACAGTATTTCTGCTGCCCACAGAAGAAGTGGGAACCTAACCCAGTTTTGAGATATAGGTTACTTTTGTCTTATCATCCAGAAGGTCAGTGGTGAATGAGGCGTCATATCATAATGCCTGTGGCCTTTCCTTAAAAGCTTTCACGTGTTGGACCATGTGGTACATCTGATACGAAGCCAAAATTTCATTTCTTAATTTTCATAATAATCTGTAATGTTTGAACGGATTTTTATAAAAACTAAATTTCCAGTGCAAAAAGAATTTTTGATAATGCAATTATTAAAAAACATAATTTTAGATTTTTTCAGTGTTGTTAGAATAATATCATTGTATGTTATCATTCTCTCAATTTAATAAGGAATTCTGCCTAGTCCAATATTAGAGGAGTGGTTAGTGCAAGAGATGTTTCTTTGTGCTTTGGTTTTCATTTAATAAAATATCAAAACAAAGTTTCTTTTCAAAAAGAAAATTGCAGGAAATCCACAGAAACTGACAGATGCACCCAACATTCAGACAGCTTCTGCCATCATGACAGACAAAAAGTCTGCATCTCCAGGTATCACCAGCTTTAATTTTGACTGTTTTATATCAACCTGAAAGTACTGTTTATGTCAAGTATCTACAACTGCATTTTCACCATGAACTAGTAGGAGTTAGCATTTACTTTAAGTAAAACAGAGCAATAATGAGAAAAATGATTCATCCAAAAAGCTGTTTTTTCAAATCAATAGTATTCATAAGCAATTTCATTGCATCTTTTCAAAGGGATTCAAATAACTTTTTTTTAAGGATTAATCTTTGATTTTTTGCTTGATAGTTAATGCTGATTTTGCTGGGCTAATGAGGAATTTCATTTAAAAACTTGCTCCCCAGTTACCATGTTAATTCTGCGATCATAATAGCTATTTATTTACAGCATTCTACTGTAAAATCATATCTACTGAGAAGGTATGATGATTTGATGGCAAAGTCAAGACTATGGGCCATTCTCTTAATGGTTTGTTAGAGAAAGCGTAACTAGATTAACTAGGTTGTAGTTTTAATTAGGTATTAGGCTTCCCAGAAAAGTAACCTAAAATTTAAACAAAATAGGTTATAACTAAGCCTGGTTTAGTATTCACTGATAAATGCTAATAAAATACTTATTTTTAAAATATTTATCCTCTTAATTCATATTCTCTTTCACTCCATGGGTTGTAAATAAGTATAATTTTGGCAAGCCCCTTGTGATATATGGTTGGATGAAGTAGACTGCTAAGTTAGATGTTTTTGTAGAAGAATAAAATATGTAGTATCATATTGTAAGATGCATATTTGGTTAGTTATCTTCTTGGGAGCTTAAGGCAGAGGATTATTTGCATTTTTTAATACTGGTCTGTAGAATATGCATATTCTTTATTTGTGTTCATCTTTGGTATGTGAGAAAATGCTGCTCCTATAACTACTTATCTTAAGAATCACTAATCACTAGTTACTGTGGGGGGCAATTCTGAATAAATATCTACTTGGATAACATGCGCTCTGTGTTCCTGATGCACTGTCAAATTTGGCCTGTCGTTTCCTTAAAACAGATGTTACTTATGGAGAAAGAATCAAAAAACTTTTTTTTTTCGATGTTCACAGTTAGCCCCATTTCATCTGATATAGTTTCGGAATTCGTGGTAAAGGAGCAAGTACGTGAGATGAATAAAGAAATTGCTGAGAAAACAGAAAAATATAAGAAATGCAAGCAAATGTTGGCAGTAAGTAAACAGCTGCTTCAGAAATTTGAACAAAAAGCTGTAGGCACTATATCTTGGAAATAAAAAACTTACCCGGCTGAATTGCCTTGCTACTTGTTTGGGTAACGCAACATGATTATAGTAGAAATTTTAACTTTAAAAGACAGTTTTATGTTGTAAGCTCACAGTTACCTGAAAGACAGACCCTTCAGGTTAACCTGGATAAGGAAAAAAGATACTGCTACTGCTTCTGTTCTTAAGGTTCCAAGTTATTTATTATTTTAGATATCTCTAAATATAATTACATTAGTAAATCAAACATAGTATGTTGCTATGAACCGGCTGATGTGTGGAACAAGCATAGCAGTGTTTTTCTGATCTGGTGTTCAAGGGTAATAATTCCTTCCATGCCTGAAAGTCTTGAAGTTGCACAGTGCTTAGACATCCGAGTTGGTGATGTTTGCTAGCCCAGGCTCAGGGACAGGCCCTGAGCAGCACGTACGTTACTGTAGTGTCCAGGCCCCACTTGGCCCCGGCAGCATTGCTAGCCACAGTCGTGTCGCCTCTGAGCTTGTTCACAGCCGTCAGCCCCCGCTTCATCTTCATGTAACCAGCTTGGATGTGTGTAAGAAGATGAAGTATTTTGTCAGGGACTTTTTTTTTTCCTGCCCTCATGTGATTTAACCTCAAATAAGCAAAAAAATATTGAGAAACTTCCTTGAATTCAGCTTACCACCTTGTTTCTTATCACAAGCAGCCTGTTCAAACGTGCTTCCCAGGTGGTAATGACCACCATGACATTCCGTAGGGCCTTCGTTGTCTTCGGGTGGCTGTTTCCTCCCTAGGCATCATTTGAGGAAAGCTTCACCTTTGACCTTCTGGATGAAAGATACTTGGTCTGATTTTAAAAAGAACAGGGAGAAAAGTTTTGTTGTGAAGTGAGACACTGAAAATAATCATCCTGATTACAGCGCTTATCATTGTGTTTACACAGAGAAACTTAAACAGTAGAAGAGGGGTTGGAGCTTATTGAAAACCCAAGCAGAAATAAATATATATTGAATGCTAGTTGTACAGTGTGCAGCAGCCCTGTTCTCTTCAAAGCCTTGTTGTTGGGCAAGACTTAAATTGTCTAATTCTAAAAACATATAGTTAATGATCTAATTGTGTTTTTCAAATAATGATAGCTCTTAAAGTGTTAAGAGTTTCATGCCATGGTGTGTATTACTTTAGGATGAGAAGATGAAATGCAGTGTTTATGCTGATGAACTAGCTAAACTGGAGCTGAAGTGGAAAGAACAGGTGAAAATCAATGAGGGTATGAAATTACATCTAGCAGCAATGGAGGATCAGTATAAAGTAAGCCATTTTTTTTCTTTCTTTTTCTTCCGCCCCTTTTTTTTCAGATCATAAATGCTATCCTGTTCTTAACATTGTTGCTTATTTTCAATAGTTCAAATACTAAACAGTTTTTGTAGGAGAAGCTTATTTTCTACAATAAACAGAAAATGTATTTTGCAGTGTAGAAACAACACATTCTTGTAACACTTAAACATATTCTCATTGAAAAATTACAGCAATTTTACTTTTATAAAATATGGCATTATTCTACAATATGCTTCATCAGCATGTGGAGTGTCAGGCAGTTTAAATAATCATTTGGAAGCAAGGAGGAATCTTGTATAGGCAGTTGCATCCCTTGCCTTCTGAAACACACAACAGAAAGACATGGTAGGTAGATATGTCTAAGATAAACTTGGTTTATTTGAGAGAGAGTTTGATTCTCTGTTATTTTTTCTTATGAGTTTGAGAGAAGTGAATGAAAGAAATCCCTGAAGAACTTAGAGCAGATTCCTTAGGACTAGTGTGTTGAAGCTTTCAGATTGCAACTCTTTCTGGAGTGCTGTTCTGCCTGCCCTTAGCATCACCGTTAGTACACATCCTGCTTTTACCTAGGATTTTATCCTCCCATAGGTGGAAGCTGACAGGCTTTCAACATGTTGCTATTATACAGTAGGTGAATTGACAGAGAACTGTTGCTTTTCTAGTTCTGATGTTTTGTGGTAGTACTAGATGATTTAAAATTGTTGAGTGTATGTTTTTCATTGTATAATAAACATATTTTCATTTAGGTTCAGCTGGCAGAAAAAGAAAGACAAATAAAGGAGCTGACATCGCATTTGGAACTCTTTACCAGTGAAAAGGTACTGCTAAATATTGCAAGCTAGCGCTTGTGGGGTTCTTAGATTTGAGGAACTGTAATTTATTTTCAAGTAAAATTTTGTTTACTATTGAAACGTGGTTTTCCATATTCAAATACTTTGGTAAACTGAACTATCACTGTAAAACACAGGGAAACTTCTACTAGTAATTGTTTTAAAATGTGAACTAATAGACAACCTCATCAAAATTGACTCAACTTTGAAAAATATTGTAGTTTATTATTCTGTGATCATGTTCTAGAATAATTTCTGCAGGCTACAAATATTTATTTATTTATCTTGCCAGAGATAGAAATAATACTGTGAAAGTTAATAGAGTGAGAGTTCACAGAACATGAGAATTCTTGCAACCTTGGTCCTATATTTCTTCTAATCTCAGTAGCTCCATGGCTCTTCTGCAGGTTTTCAGTGAATTTTCAGCCTCCTCCTTCCTCTGCTCCTTCCTTAGCCCTGCAGTGGCTGGAGGCTGGTGCCCACTTAGTGTCTGTGCTGTTCGGCCAACCCACACCAATAACTGTTGATAATCATTGAGCTCGTGCTGTTGTTGTTCCTTTTAACAGAGCATCAGTTACAAACCTGGCAGCACGTCCATTTTTTAGATGTAGTTAATTCTCTGTGGTGTTCTCAGGAGTTCCTGGCAAAGGAAGCTGACAGGCAGCACAATTAGTATAAAGCTTGGCAGTAAGGGTGAATGATACATTTGTATCTTCACAGCTTCCCCAGCCCTCAGCACTGGTTAAGATTTTTCCAAATCCTTTCAACATCTGCAGTTCCCTCATTGACTGCTTGTAATACAGCAGCTCGACTTACATGGCAGTAGTGACTTCTGTGATGTACAACTATAAAAAGATCTTTATCGGAAAAGAGATAAAGATAGGCAAACAGTTCTCTGATTTTTAAATATATGATAGAAAATGAACTGCTGCTTTCAGGAGTTTATTGTCTAATCAAATCTGTTGCCATTACTGTTACAGCAGATTAATTCTGAAATACTAATGCTAGAAGGGCTTTCAGCATTAGAACATTAATGTTATGTGGACATTTATCAAAACTGTTATACAGAAAGCTGAAATAATAAAATGTCTTTATTATATTCAGATAGTATTGCCTATATGATACGGTAGAAAACTTACGATTGTCCCGATTACTTAGAGCCACGTGCTGTGAAACAAAAAGTAGAAACATATATGTATTGAAAACATGAAATTGCACACCAATCAGTTGAAATTACAAACTAATTGCATATTAAATCAATTAATGTTTTGCAAAATTCTAGATTCAAAAATAACTGGTATTTAAGTCCACTAATATTTTTACCCAGAAAGGTCAAAGACTTAAATTTTTAATAAATCTCTGTTATTTTCTTATAATTCAAAATAAAATGAAATAAAAGTTGAATTTTGATTAGTCTAGCTGGAAGGAGTAATTTTAAACAACACACATAAGAAGGAGAGCAACTGTAATAATATTGTATGAAGCTTATAAAAGCTTGGAACTGTGTCTACCAAATTTATGGATATTTACATTACAAAGAAGAATCAAAGTGCTTTGCTAGACTGGAACCATGATTTAAAAGGTTAAGCACAGTATAGTAAACAGCTTTTCAATTTATACTCCATTATCAGTGTTTGTTTATAAATGTCACCAAACATAGCATGCTAAAAATGTTCATTTGCAGTCTCTTCAAACCTATAAAGTTACTTGGTTTCTATTTTATTTACATACTTGTATAGCCTTTGATTTTTAATCGGTCTCTACCATAGCTGTCCGACTTCTGGCTAAGACTATTTTACAGCACCTTTTACAGTCACTTTGATCTACATTTTGTTTTCATCTTATGTGATGCTAAAATTAAAGCCTCTTTTTCTAAACTGCTTCCATATTGCAGAAGAAATTGATTTTAAAAAGGAAAATCCCAACTTCACTAATAATTAATAGTTCCTGCTTTGTATTTAACAAAGATAATTATTTATATTTTGTCCACTTAGGAAAGTTTTAAGACAGTCTCCTAACCATTTAACCCTAAGCATTTCAATCATGTATGCATTTTGGTCCATCTAAAATCTAAAGTAAAGTTAGCATAGTTTTCTAGCCTATCTATAGGAGGATATTTTACTTCGAAGGTGTTTTGCAGAAATTGTGCTGTGCTGTATGAAAAATACGCTGCGTTCTTTTTAATAATCAAGGCACTTGATTTCTCACATAGTTAAACTAGTCAAAGCTTAGGTTTAAAGTTTTTGCTTTAAGGTTTTTGCAGAAGGCATGCTTCTGTATTTGAAAATGTTATTGCATCAATAAACCTCAAAGTACCCCCAAGGAAATGTTTACCAGAATGAAAATTGGTTAAAAAACCATACCTGTTTCCTTTTTTCCTTCCCCCCTGTCCCCCCATCATATTGTTTTTGTTTTGTTCATAATTGTAAATCGCATATTCCTTTGGGTGTTGACATACATGCTATCTTGTTCTGTTTTATTTTTTTCTTCCTTAATCTGCTTTAGTAAAGGCAGGCAAGAAGTACAGCTGATGCCCTGACTGCACTTAAATTATTTTAATTCCTGGCCCTTAATATATAAGCCATTGAAACTCTGAGCCTGTATATGTTTATAAAAATTATTTAGTAGTCTTCAATAATTACTATCTACACAGCCTATATGCAAAATTTCAGACTTTTAAGTAGATGAATATTTTGAAGAGTTCTGCTTTAACTTTTCTGAAAGAATGAATTGGCTTTCTGATATGGGGATTTAACCAACAATTAAATAAGGCAGGCCCTCTAAGTTGCTTGAGAAATCCAGCATTTTTTGGTTCTGGATAAACACACTTACCTCTGCCAAACTGCAAGAATGCAGATGTAAAAAGTAGGCATGAATTTTTTTTTCTTTTTTCCTTTTTCCTTATTCTCTCTGTTTACAAAACAGATGTGAACTTTTTTTTTTAACCACTATATTCATAGAGGACAAATTGTTTCTCACAGGATGTTTAGTTACTTTGCAAGCTGTATGTGAAACTGCAGCTCTCCAAATTTAAATTTGGATTGAAATACAAATGGATTTAAAGTCCATTTGTCTGGAATTGGACAGATGGGCCAGTGCACTTCTGTTCTGTGTGATAGTATAATTGTTGCTTTAAATGAATAACCTTGGCTGGCTGAACAGTTGTGAAAATTAGCACTGATTTCTAATAACTAACATAAGAAGAAAGCACCAACATTGAGTAATACTTTGTCTTTCTGGAATGCTGTTAGTCTATAAAATGTGTCTACATTCTGTCAAAGATAAGGGAGTGAGTGTGAGAGAGACCTGGTGAATCACTTGCCCTGCTGGTGCAGAACGTGTGTTCAGAGGCCTCGGTGTCATTCCTGGTGGCCGTGCCTGCCGCTCCCTGGTTATGGGCCGGAGCGATACTGCAAACTATTTTTAACTTGACCCTTTTCAAAATTATTGTCATCAAGGTGTTTGCTGAAGTCCTTTCAATATAAACTATCTGCAGTATGGTCTTTTCTAGCCATCTTTGACGTCAAAAATCTTGCCTGGAATTGGGATAGAATTGTCCCACTTGCTGAAGCACCTTATGATCTTGACTGGAGAATTCCCTTACTTGCTTTTCATTCCCATGCAGCATTTTCCATTTCCATTTTCATTTCACATGCAGCATTTTCCAGCACTGTTTTCACTGCCACCTTCTACTTCCACCTTCTTTACTGCATTTATTATAAGTTACTTGTCCTGCTTTCAGGGTTCTCTCCAGGTCTTTCTCCGCCTATCATCTATTTTCTGTCCTTTGCTGTTCATACCCCATCAGTTGATTCCCAAGACTACACGTTGTCACTTTTCTATTACATGCCTATTTGAAAATATATTTTCCATGCTGTTTTAAAGAGAGATTCTATAAATAACTACTGAGCAAAAATATTCTCTTGGGAATGGTCTTGTTAACTACTATTCCCTTTATGCTTTCTTAGAAGCTGACAGCTTCATGCTATTTATGTAGACTACTGCTTAGCCTGTCTCATTTTTATTGTCGGTCTGTCCACTTTCTAACGTAAGAACAAGAAGGTTCCAACTCCTCTAGTTCTAGTTCTTGAAGGTCTGAGGTGTTCTTGTGCCTTCAGTTACTGCAAGCTACAAACTGCTACTCAGCGTCAAAACCAAATGCTGCCTTTTCTTCTCTCCCTTCAAAAAAAAAAAAAAAAAAAAAAAAAAAAAAAAAAAAAAAAAAAAATTTCCTCAGTATTCCTGATAATTTTAAGTGGAACATCATCTCTGGTCAGCTGACAGATTAACAAGTAGCAAGTTTAGCAGATTTAGTTGTTTCAAGTTTTTTTTTTTTTTTTTTTTTTAATCCTTAGTTTAGTAAAAATGTAAACCTTTTACTGTGATTGCATGGATTATAACTACATTGGGAACTTTGTATTATTCAGGAACTTGGCAGGGCGCCAGGGAATCAAAATGGAAGGATGATGGAAGGACACATTTCACAACAGACATTACATTTTCGCAATCCGTATTCGGAGGAAAACGGACCAATTCCTGCAGTGCCTAGTAGATTGCCAGTATTGCAATATGGAAACCCGTATGCAATTCAGGAAAGGAGAGGTCAGTAGATATTTTTTTTTTCTTTGGTATAATTTGTATCTTACTGTTTTTTTTAAAGAAATGAGTAAGTACCATCAATCTATACACTAATAGACAGTGTCTTTATGAGAAGCAGTGAGGTTTGCAAAGGTGAGCCAAGCTTTAGAGATATGCTTTGAAGAACATCTTTTCTGTTGGTTTTTCTTGGCTGAACTGAAAATGTGGGAAGGCTTCTTTTTTAAGGCAGTACACCTGTAATCTCAAAATACCAACTCTGCTGACCAAAAACTGCTCCCGCTGTTTTTCCTGACTTTTCTTCAGATGGAGCAGATGGGGCTTTTAATCCCGATGAGATCCAAAGACCACCAGTGAGAACTTCGTTTTGGGAACTGGAGGATGATGTGGTCTGCAGTCAGCCTTCACGCAACCTTAGCCGGCCTGATGGTTTGGAAGATCCTGAGGACAGCAACGTAAGTCACTGTTCTGCTTGTGTGTGTGTTGTTATTTTATTTTATTTTTTTATGAACAATCAAGAACTGACAGAAGTTTTGGTTTCTATTAAGCCTGTTTCAATTAAATGTGAAGTTCATCATCTTCCCTGAAAAATATTTTAAGTGACTTTCCTTTTTGTGAAGGAGAAAACTCAATCAACAATGATTAATATATACTTGTTCCTCTGCTCTCTTGAGTTAACTGCTGGTTCTTCTCATTACTGGACTATAGCTACCTATTTTTTAAAAAATACTAAGAAGGAAAAAATCCAAATAATCTCATGTAATTTTGGTATTTCACCTCTGTGTGTTACAGAGTGAAGGCTCAAATGTAAGCTGAACTGTAATGGAATGAATCAAAATTTGAAGGATTCTGATAAGTGTGTTCAGTTAAATGCTGAATGAAAATGCCTGTAGTATTAAATATTTCATTCTGACGCGTTAATCTTTTGCCTTGTGTTTTACAAATCTGCATTTATTAATTTTCATTTTGATTTTTTTTTTTTTAACTGGAAGACATGTCTCTGGAAGACCTAATTGACTTATTTAAAGTTGATCAAACTGAAAATGACAGATCTTCACTAATTTCCTTTTTAGGGCTTCGTATGTTTTAAGTGGGAACTGTTTAGCTTTTTAACACATACGGCTCTCAGGCATATTCTGATATAAGAGGAAAAATGGTATCAGTAATTTGGCTTCTGTACTAAATTGTACCATATGTCTTCATTTGAACAGGAACAGACATACTACTGTTCCTTATTCTAAGTCCTCTTGCTTCTTTAAAAATGTTAAACGAGAAATACTTTTCTGCAAAGCACTATGCTCTTTGCAAGTACCATTGGTATCATGACCTGTTTCTCATTTAGTCTAGTTTGCCACATTTAATTGCTATTAACCTTTGCAGAAGCTGATCAGTGTTCAGACAGGCATGATTTTAGCCCTGGTGCTCAGCACCTATAATGGAGAAAAATGTATTTCTCCCTCCTACCTTTTGCCCCCAGTGTCCATTACTGAGAATAATTAGAGAAGCTGTCAGAACTTTTGCAGCCTCTTTAAGATCTAGAATCTGAGCCTAACGCCGTTGCCCACCTTTACTTCACATCTTGCATATTTAGTCTGGTCGTTCCTGACGTAGGCGCTGCATGTGACAAGCTCTTCTCTTCCTTGGGCGTCTGCTTCAGTTTAATTAGCAGGGTGCTCTTCCTGGTCTGTGTGCTTTGCCCTCTTGCAAACCCAAGAAAGAGTGCCAGAGTCTTGTGCTCATTTGCTGACACAGCTTAGATGTTTTCCGTAGTGATATAGGAAGAATATAGCAGGCTCAAAGTCCAACATCAGAAAAGGTGCCTTTAAATCATTAATTTATATCCTTATTCTTTGACTTTCAAAGGAGAATCATTTGCTTCTTTTTCCCTAAAACAGATGTGTGCGTAGAGTGGGCAGATATTACACATAATTCAGTAATCCTTCTAGAGTGACTTAGCAGTATGCTAAAAAGATTCATATTTTGACACAATATTTAAATAAGTAAATAAGCAGGGAAAATTTCCATGAAAATAGGTAGTTGTAATGAAGGGGAACATACCATTTCCACAAAAGAAACAGAAAATATAGAATAAGTATGAATAGCTGCCATTCGTTCTATTTGTTTCTAAAAATGAATTATATAAGATACAGTTCTACATATTTTTCAACCAGGAAGGCCTAGGCCCTTTTGTTCCCTCCAGAGGAAAAACATGGGTATTCTTGCTGCCTTGTTTGAAAGTGTGTCATTGTATGGACTACTGTGATCTGCCACTTTGCGCTCCAGTAGCTACAACTTTATATTGTGTGTAGAACCTAAGGGAATTGTCGTTATTTTCACTGTGAGAAGACGAAAGTGCTCATTTTGGTGCAAGTGCTTATATTGGCAGTGCTTCAGATACAGTGATGAACTTGTCTGCGTTATTTATCTAAGATGACAGTTATTTAAGATCCAAGGTAAACATTACAGTACATAGAAGAATTAAATAGAAGTTGTATACACCCAAAAAAGTAGGTGGACTTTCCAAAAATTATCAAAGTAGGCTTTTCCAATCTGTGGGACGAGGGGGTAAATGAGGCATGTGTGTGTGCGTGTGTGTGTTCGTGTAGAAGAAACATTGCTGCTTGCGCCGAGGTCAGAAATGGGACTCCTCCTCATTTTAGATACCCGCGCCGCCCACGGAAGAGTCCATCCAGCTGGGAGAGCTCCTGGAGTGGAGCCTCTGCCTCCTGCAGCTGCTGTTTACATTCCTGTGCCACTGAGTGTGAGAATTTGTAAATGCCAACGTAGAAGATGGAGGAGAAATTGCGAATGCGTCTCCCAGCAGTGCTTTCTGGCACAGGATTAGATAGAACCACTGCAAACCTATAAACACATCCCTGCCCCTGCATCATGCTGACCTTCTTCCCCTGTAAAGGTTACGATGTTCTATTTCCAGCTATGATGCCTCTTCCCCAAAGTTGGGGAAAGATCTCGGATTTGCTTGTGAGCATTTGTCCATGTGCGCGTTTCCACTGGGCAGGCTGGTGGTGCTCGGAGTTTAAAGCCTTCCCGGAACCATTCCAGCACTCCTGCAATTTATACAGCTTCCTTAGAGCTTTGCTGTGAGTTGGTAACGTCCCCTGCGCTGGGTGTTCGTTCAGGATGGAATTCCTTCCCCTGTACTGAGATTGCAGTTTGTCTTCCTGCCACTATTTTTATTTCTTTCTGCATACTGCCTTTGTTTTCTGCTCCCAATTTCAGCCATATCTGGCATGTTATGGAGGTCTTAAAGATACTGATTCCCTATAGGTTTGAGGGATTACTGGGCAGAAGAGAGAGACCTATATAAATTCTTGTGGTAAGGAAAAATTACAGCAGCTTTTTCCTTATCTACTCTAGCAGGCAGCAAACAGCTGGCCAGTAAGCCTGAATGTAGCTGCAAACTGGCCATTAATTTAACTACCCGGGAAGAGGACAGGAGATGATGGGGGGCAGGAGTCTGGGAACGGCAGACGCAGGTCGGGGGAAGTCGGGTCTCTCGCACCCGTTCAGTCCGGTCAGGAGCTTCCTCCTTCGCAGAAGTTCTCATAAAGTGCATTTTTCCTGCAGACTTGGTCTGTATCTGTGTGGTTTATCAGTGGTGGAACAGATTTGACAGACCAAATTTCTGCCTCTCGAGATGAATTTTGTACTCCTGGGTAATCATTTATTTATGTGTTTTCATCTTATGTAATGAAAAGGATCTACCTATCGTATTTTGTTTCCACTATATGGAAAAGTTTGGGTGTGTGGGTGTGTTTTTTTTTTTTTTACATATTTTGTTAGCATTAGAAATTCCTCAGTAAGAGGGTTAAAATCAGTCTTGTTCATCAACAGAAAAGCATTTCTCTTGCTTTCCTCTCTCAGTGAAGACACTGTCAGCATGTGGAGCTGATGTTACTGTCATGTACTTTAGCAATACAACTCTTAGTCTACCTGGGCTGCTACTCAGATGATCTTCCTGTCACAAGCAGAAAACTTTGACAGTCTTTACATTATATTGACAAGAGGTAATACCAGACACTAACTATCCTTTGGGCTGGATATGGGCCAAAATTGGGTACTAGTCCAGTGTCTGGTGCTTTGCTGCTGCGCTCTCATTCCCCTGCCAGAGGTGGGTGCCCTGCTCAGTGCGCGCTCGGTGTGAGGAGAGGGGGGTTTGCGTAGCCCGTGGCTGTTGGGGCGTCCTTCCCTTGGGGAAGGAAGGAAGGAAGGGCTTCCCCAGCGTCTTGGGTAGCTGCGGGAGCTCCCCGTCCTCCCCAGGGTGCAGCCACCAGTTGTCCTCGGGATGCGGCGGTGCCTGGGGCCCAGTGCAGCGCGCGGCAGCCGCCCCGCTCTGCGCCTCCTCCACGCAGTTACTGTCTCTCCTACGTCCGAGTTGCAAATTCTCCAGGTCACGATTGAGATGATCCTTCTGCTGAGACATTTGTCCCCAGCGTGACCTGAGCCCGTTTCCCACGTTCCTAAGGAGAGTGATGTTTGCTCGCATTCCCAAGCCTGCTCATATTTCCGAGCAGTAAGCTTTTATTTCTACTTCTCTGTGGAGAGAGATATTTTTATTACTGGTGATTATCTTGGCTAGCAAAGAATGAGATCAGGTGATGGTTACATTCCTGTTATGCTGAAACTTGCACTGACTTTCCTGCCTTTAGCTTTTTTTTTTTTTTTCCTGTCTTGGTTAGTCTGAGTTGATGATAATTGTGACCTACGTAGTCATGTGCAAATGCATCTAAACTTCTACTGGAGGTTGCATTTTGTATTCCGTTTTCTCCTGAAACCTCGTTCCCTGGGAGTGGGACATGTCCGTGTGTTTGGCTGCCATGAAGAACCATCAGGTTTGACCAAGAGCCCTGAGAGCCTTTCCAGAACTCTTCATAGCTTGGGCTTCAGTATCCTGTGACCATGTCAGCACTGATCCCGGAGAGGGATGAGCTGCTCTGTTTATTATGCCGAGGAGGAAGCACCCCGGGGGATGTCACGCAGAGCAGTGGGCTCTGTAAGGACCTGCCCTCCTTGCCTTAGCGCTAGTTTTCCACTTGCTCATGCAAATTATTTTTGCTGCCAACTACTGGTCTATAGGATAGGCAGGAAAGGAGAAAACCGCATCCAGGTGCCCAGGTCCCCTCTCCAGGTGAGGCCCCGTGTTTGCCTGTGCCTGTCGCTGCGGGACGCGGTCGGCCTGGCTGAACACGCGCAGCCGAGCGCAGGCTCCGGGGGCAGGAGAGGCGCCGCGGGGCTGCCTGGGCACAGGGACCGGCTCGACGGCTCCTCCGCAGGGTCTGCGGGACGGGCCTTGCTCCGGGGGCCTCTCGCTGTGCAGTCCCTCAACCGCCTCGTCTCGTCTGCGCTGCGAGTTTGTTCTGCTGTGAGAGAGCAAACCTTCTTAAAACATTACCTGAGCTTTTCAAGCTGGTATCATCCAGGTGAATAAAGAATATTTGCTTAGACTAACTGGGAGAAACCGGCACTAAGTGGCTGTGAACCAAGCCAGAACTGTCTGTCCTTGTGTGGCTCCCAGTTGATTGGGACGTTTTAGGAGTCCTCCCCGTCTGAATGGGCACAAATAGATTTCTGTCAGTTGAGTAAAACATCTCCTGCCTTCCTGCTGCAAGTTAAGGAAAGAGGATTTTCTTAGTGGTTGTTGTGTTCAGCTCAGCCTCCTCAGCAGCAGTATGTGGCAGTCACCTGCCCTCAGAATAGCAGCGAGATCCTCCCAGGCTACTGAGTCCTCAAGTGCTGCTGTTCCTGTGTGTGTGTTGCCGTGCCCTGAGCAAAGCGCAGCCGTGGGGCGTGAGTCTGAGGAGCCCGTGCCCTGGGCCAGTGTCTCTCCACCTCACCAATTGTTGCCTAATATTTGTGTTGGGCAAAAAGTGCCCTCTGGCCACGGAGTAATTGAGTGACAAACAGAAAAGGATTATAAGAAAGTCTGTTCTAAGGGAATTGCATTTAAGTTAGGCCTGTCTTTGTAACAGAACTGTTTTTGGAAGAAGGACGTGCATTCATTTTCTTAGTTCTACATGTGCTTAGGGTCTGGTAGTCCAGCCAGTTTGTCCTGTTTCTGGTACTGCCTGAACTACTATGTTGTAGCTCCCCAGTACTTCAGTTTTTCCTCTTTATGCCTGCCTCCTCTTTCACGATGGAAGAAATGAGTCATATTTCAAAACCAGGTGCCCTCTTTGCTGCAGGTGCAAAGCAAGCAGGTCAGACAGGAGTCTCTGTTGCCAGCAGCTGTCACAGTGAGGCCGCTGGCTGCTTAATGCAGGTGTAAATGGTTGAGACCAAACAGCTGTTGGCAGGAGAAGGGAAGCACTGAGGGATGTTCCTGTCCGGCCGCTCTCCCTTCACAAGACCAAAGCATGTTAGCCCCAGATCCAAATGTGTGTGAATATACTGGCTGTCTGCATAAGCCATGGTACGGATGCTGGTGCACGTGGCTCCTGGCACATGCTTGCGTGTTTCTGATGGATGTGCGTCAGCTAAATCATCCCTAATTCCTGTGTGCGCTGCCTCCTTCCAACAGGAAGCAAACTGATTTAGGAAACTCAAGTATTGATATTTTCAAAGGTCTTGTTGGCCCCTAGTTTTGCTGAGTAGGTTTGTGCTGTCCTACCTGTTTGCAGAGCAGAACGCAGACGCTGTAAAATGCAGTTTGTTACTGCCTAAAGAACCACTGGGGGTTTCTTCGTTTTCCAGCTCAGGGATGTGGCACTGAGGCCCTTGCCAGGAGCGGGCGGCGGGCGGGCGCCGCTGGGCACCTCCGCGGTGCCGCGCGGGGAGAAAAATCTGTCCTTAGCTGGTATTAAACATCCTTGGTTTGTCCTTTTTGATAGGATGATGACAACACCGTGCCCTCTGCTCCTGATCCTCCGAGTCTCCTTCTGCATGAACGTGGAACAGGTTTTTGCTTTGACTCCAGGTGAATGTTTGTCTCCTGTTGCTGTGTAACGGCCCAGACGGGTTCCTGGGACGCTGGACTGCGCCACCCTGAGTGGGGCTGGGGCGTTGGGTGAGGAGGGAAGTGTTCTCAGAGCGGGTTTGCTTTACAGTTAGCTTGGACTGGGGGGACTCCCTGTGCTGTAGCTCATTTTGACTGACTGTGGGCAATATTTTCAGAAAGCAAATGAAAAACTTCAGTTTTTCCTCCCTCTTTGCAACCTAATTGTGGAGCTAAGTTTAGAGCTTTTATAAAGTGTTATGTTTGCTAAGAGCAAGCATTTATGAGCACGGAGCGTGGTTTCCCATGAAACTCCTTGGCCATTAAGACTGTATAGATCTGTGTTCAGTGGTAGCTGGAATTATGTCAAAATGATGCAGCTTCCTCAACGCTGCCTTATTCAGAAAGTGCTGAGTAGAACTGCTTTAAGGATATTGCTCATTTTCAACTGAGACTTAATTAACAGCATGATACTCTCCTACATATCCAAGGTCTGCTCAAACTTAAACTCATAGTAAAGCTTCTCTTCAGTGAACTGAATTTTCTTCTCCTCCTCTCGTGCAGTTTTGACTTGCACAAGAAGTGCCCTCTCTGTGACGTGATGTTCCCGCCCAACTACGACCAGAGCAAGTTTGAGGAGCACGTCGAGAGCCACTGGAAGGTCTGCCCCATGTGCAGCGAGCAGTTCCCGCCCGACTACGATCAGCAGGGATTTGAGAGGCACGTGCAGACTCACTTCGATCAGAATGTTTTAAATTTTGATTAAATACTTTGTTTTGCAGTGTAGCTTAAAAAGAAGCACCTTCAAATGAGTAGTCCACCTGTAGAACAAAAACAGTGCAGCCTGCCTGGAACAAGGCAGACTTGGGATTAAAGCTCTTGCACCTCACGGAGCCGTGACACATCTTGGCCGCAAGCTGCTAGTGGGTTGTCCTCTCTCCTCAGCTAACATTATGCTCAAGACTTGGTTGTGTCTGTATCTATTTATTCCCTTATTTAGTGGAATCTGTTAAGGGCATAGGAATTACCTTAGCCTCACAATGAGACCAGCTTCATGATGCTTTTAGCTGTAAAAAAAAAATAATAATAAATCTCCTGAGGTTTCTCTTGACTAACTGAGGCATGACTAAAATCGCAATAAGCAGATGTTTCACACAGTAAATTTGTGTAGTTTTTCTTTGAGTGACAGTTAAATCAAAGTTACATAACCCACCCCATGAGAACGTAGTTTCCTAGTTCACTTTGAAATGCAGCAGGGAGGACGGGCACCTGCGTTTCACACGTGAGACACCTGCCTTAAGGAGTAACCTGAAGTACGTTACGCTTTAGGGCTGTGTTTTTGAGTAGAAAGAAACTGCTCTGCTTAGAATGCCTGGAAAATAACTGTTTAAAATCATTGCCGTTTTGCTGCACTTGCATTCAGTAGGAAACGTGGTTACGTTTTTCACAGCAGTGAATTGTGTTCCTTTCGGATTTGGGCTTTCAAACCTGCTTTTTAACTTTGCATATTTCTTTCCAGTAACATGTGTGTATATCTAAATATTTTATAATAAATGTAGTAAGTAAATTTGCTTTCCACCTGTTGTACAATAGTCTTGTTACATTAAAAGCAGAATTATTCATGGAGTCGGTGGTCCTTTCTTTTGGCTGCCTCTGGTGAAATAGCCTCAAAGGTGGAATCCACACCTGGGTTTTAGTGATTTCTCCTTTAGAAAACCCCGAAGAGGAAGCTCATGTCCTGCCACTACAGGAGGGGCTCCGGTCCGTGAGTATCAGGTTCATGTCAGCAGGCTGAACTGGGCTCTGATGGGCATGGAAACAACCTGTGAAACCTGATTTTGCTTTTGTAGTGCCCCATGTAAACTATGTGTTAAGTTACTGCAGCTTGTTACTGACTAGGAGGAGTTTGCTAGCAAAGGGAAATACCCAAGATCCTGCCCAGCACCAGGACTTTTAATGCCGCAGGTTAGTGACAAGTGAAGAGGAGTCAGGTTAGGTCAGAGGCAGTTTATTTTAAATGTGATTTGATTTACATTTATAAGCAGCTTTCTTGACAGGAATTCATTAAGTTGCCTTCAGTTCTATAACAAACCTCTGTCACTTTCAAACTTAAAGTACTTTGTCCCCAACAAAACATATGAAAATATAATTTAAAGCACACTTTTCACAGACACAGTACAATACATTCACTATACACAGTATAACAAAATAGTCCCATCTTTACCTGTTTAATAATACTGTCACAAGGAATAGGTAAATAGAAACTGGAATTTCGTTTTTATAGCTGCAAGGGCTTCACATGCAACAATGACACTTTACAACTGTTTAGCTGTTGAACTAACTTACCCAGCCCGTAGTTTCTTGCACTAGGAGCAGAGCCAGAATGTGTTTCGCTTACCAGATCTGTTGCCAAAACTGCACCAGGGAGAAGGGGGCGCCTCTGGGTGCCACTAACTCTCCTGTCTGCATCATCCTTCACCCCGGCTGCCCGTGTGGTGCAGAGCAGCCACTGGCACCGCACCAGGGTTGGGAAAAGTGGAGGTCTCTCTAAACACCCAAGTGTTTAAAAAAACACCCTAGGAGGACCCAAATAATTTAAAGAGATTTTTTTGCTCCGCTGGAGACTAGGTAATTGTCATATTTACAAAGTTTTCTTTTAAAGCCTTAGGAAAAAAATAAAGGGAAAGCTTATTTCTCATAGACAGGAGCTTGCTCTTGTAATTACAGGAACTAAGGAGCATTGATTATGGTACCTAAAACCATGACTTCCTCCCTCCCCCTTTCTGCAGAAGGGGGTTGTTGGGGGCAGGGGCTGAGGAGGGGGTCGCGCAGGGCCGGGGCTGCCTCCAGCACCGGCACCGGGGAGAGGAGCCAGCCCAGGCGGCAGCGCCGGAGCCTGCGCTGGGGCCGGAGCTCTCAGCACAGCCCCTGGAGGGCAGCGGCCGCCCCGAGAGGCAACAGCAAAGTACAAAGGTGAAGCTCGAAGCGCAGCGAGCAGGAAGGAGAGGCAGCAGAAACGCCCCAGCGCAAATAAGGGACCTCCTTAAACCACGGGTGGGTTCTTGATTTTTATTTGCAACCACAGGCACATGCTCGTACAGTAAGTTGCAAGAGTTGGCAACACATACAACATTAAATCTGTTGGCAATAGAGAACTACAAAGTGCTTTAAACCTTCATCCGAGATGAAGAGAATTGTTTCTCACACACACACAAATTTGCACTTAAGTTTTTCCAAGTGTCTTTCTGATAGTTCAGGGGGAGATGTTTAGTTGGACTGGGATATTGGTCCTCAAAAGTTTGATGGGCATGAATGTAATATGACATCTTGTAAAAAAAAAAATAATTCCTAACACTAAAGTGATTGTTTACTAGTTCAAATGGCAAGAGTTTCAGCATTTCAAGAGGGGAAAAAAAAAAAAAAGATTTGCAAGATAATATAAAATACAGCAAGCACACTTTTTATGTATGTTATTTAAGTATGAAAATATTTTTAGCATATTATGTTAAACATTCTTTCTTATTTATATTTCCATTACCTACGCGACTTGCTACCCCACTGATAACTCCGTTATGTAAGGCATGTTCACGAGAGTCAGACAAGGGTGGGATCGTTTTGGTTTTGCACACACTTTGACAGATGCAGTGAAAGTCTTCATGACGTTACAATCTTGAAATCAGGTCAGTGCCAAGCTCTCCTCCTCGTCACCGCTTCAGTACAACTAGACACGCGACGCCCCCCTGCCTCGGTTTTTGTTTTGGAGAAAAATGTTCTGAAGAACGTATAGCTTTTTTTTTCTTTTTTTTTTTCTTTAGCACCTTAATCTCAAAGAAGTAATGAAAATGGGTATGATGATTACATGTGCAAATGTACAAAATCATTAACTCTACAAAGATACATCATTCCAAAATTACAGAAAATTTTTAAAGCATGCATTTAATTCTTTAAAGGGTTGCTGAGTGCTTCCCCTGAAAAAAAGGTGGCTGTTCTCAAAATCAGCAACTGCTGGTGAGGGTTTCTTGGCACGTTTGTGACCAGCCTGTTATTGCTGCATCTTCCTGATGATCTCGGCAGACACGGGGGGGTGGAAATTGATTGTGTGGTGCCGCAGGCCCTGAGCTGTCTTGTAACTCTTCCCGCAGCGGCATTTGAAGGGTTTGCGTACGCGGATCTGCGTTCGGTGGCCGTTCTTGGCGTGGTACTTGATACCGTTCACATTCTGCGGGCAAGAAAGGGACGCGTGAGCTGGCAGGCCGGCTGGGAACGCTCTGGCTTCTGCTGCGTGCCCCAAAATTGACAGTATTATGGGCAAAATGGACAGTGTTGGTTAGAAACTGGCTCTGTGCTAGACATGCAAGATTTTTTTTTTTACTTACTTAAGCGTGAGACAAGGCGGCAACACCTCTAGTTCCTGTGTGTCGCACTTCCAAAAATACCATTTAACAGGATCAGACATGACCTCGGCTCTGCTGCAGCGGGGCGAGGGAGAGCAGGCGCCAGCGCTCTGAGGACCCCATGGTGACACCAGCACCGTCACCGAGCGACGCTCTGGCACATGGACCAACACCATGGCACTGCACAGGGTCCAAATCTTACCACTCTCCTCCTTTTTCCACATTTTTCTGGCAAGAATGGAACAAAGTGTTGTGGTCTACCTCGTAGTGACGTTAAGATTCATCTCAACTACTGTCTCTTTCCCAGAGTATTTTGTTGCTTTCGTTCAAACAGTTTGGATTTGGGGATAAATAGGACAGGTCTTTCACTAGTGCAATCACAGAATCACAGAACGGTTGAGGCCGGAAGGGACCTCTAGAGATCACCTAGTCCAACCCCAGCCCTGCTCCAGCAGGGACACGTGGCACAGGGTGGCATCCAGGTGGGTTTGGAAGAGCTCCAGAGAAGGAGACTGCACAGCCTCCCTGGGCAGCCTGTTCCAGGGCTCTCCAGGAAAACAAACAAAAAAGCCGCTCTATGGCTCAGCCGTGTCCTCTCTGCACCTTCTAGGTACTTCTCTCTCATGTTTTTAAGCTACAACAATTAAAACTGGTTAACAGGGGTGACCCTAACCCACTCTATTTTCAGGGTGTTTCCAGGGTTCTGCCCTTGCCGAGCACTGCTGTTCCCAGCACAGGGCGCCCGGCTCTCCCGGCCGGCTCCACCTTCACTCACAGGGATCCGCAGGTTCCGCAGCAGCAGCTCCCCAGGACTTGAGGCCATCGGAGGAATCAGACAAGGTGCTACCTAAAACCACCCTCCCCAACGCGCACACAGCGACAACCGCTTCACCCTCAGGAGGCTCTTCCTCCACCACAAAGGAAATCAGAGAAGACCTGAACATCACATGTTCGACACCACTCTCTGGTAAACGCCTCCTTTTCTTTTCCCCGTCTCCTGAGAGATTCTTGAGAGATCCTTCTCCTTGAGATTCTTGAGAGAATCTCAAGTTTTGTTGCAGGCTCCTGAGATGGCGTCCCCGGCTCGTGTCAACCCAGGTCTGCGCTCACGTCAGGTCACACCACGGTGTGGGCGGCAGCAATGGGAGCAGCTCACAGAGCCCCAGGATGGGCAGAACTGCAGGAACCACCCCCAGCTCCTGCACAGCCGCCAGGCTCCCCTCCTGCCCTGCAAAATCCAGCCCTGTCGCTCATCACTCGCGCACTCGGGGGCCACGAGGGCAAAGGTGCAGCCCAGACTGCTGCACCTCCTCACAGACAAACACGGCCTGTTTGGTGACTGCTCACAGGCCCTGTTCCTGCTCCACCCCATGGAGCTGTGGGACATGAGTCTGTGGAGCCCCCAAAACGGGTCACAGACCAATAGGAGCCTTTAGCGCCGGCTGCTTCTCGGCTGAGGGTGCTGAGAACGAAGTTGTGGTAGCAAGTTGTGCTGTGGGGAGAGGCCGCAGTGTGGCCTTCGAGAACCTTCCGGAGCTGCCGGGGAAACCCCTGCCTGTTACCTGAGAACCCGGGGCCGCGCGTCGCGGCTGTCACACAGGCAGTGCAGGAGCGCTCGCGCCCGACGGACTAGCCGGTTGCTGCTGGGGTGGCACTAGGTGACACGAGATGTCACTGCGTTTGCCGTAGGGCATTCGGCAACATCCAAGCACTGCCAGGGACACGTGTCTTCCAGGAGGGGGTGAGCTGCTAGTCTGCTGTCACTGCAGTGAAATTGTAAAAATAAAGTAACCCCCCGCTCCCCCAAACCCGTGTTTATTCTGGAGGTCTGAGCAGAAGTCTGTTTAGACCCTTAGTTTTTAGGAGTGATCGCTCTGGGGGTCCCTCAGACTACAGCAGGTGTTAGGGGCTCCCCCCGGCCATCGTGACACCGACACTGCTGCATCCTGAAGGACCCGTCCTCACGTGTGGAAAACACCCTCCTGGCGGGGGAGGAGTCCAGGCAGAGAAGGATACGGAAGCTCTGAAACACAAACCTGGGTGGAACTAACTGGTCAAGGGGCGGTTGGGGAAACAGGGCAGCTCCCGCGTGTCCGAGGTGGCGGCCCACGGCTCTGCCAAAGCAAACTGGTGCTGAAGCTGCACCTGGGCCCTCCTCCCATGGCTCCCATTGCACAACACAGCCCAACAACAGGCGGATTTGGTAATGGGCGGTATTTACCCCACGGCGACCTGTCACCGACCTGCTGAGCCGCCCCTCACTGCCACAGGACAGCGAGGGCTCCCCGCGGAGCCGGGCGCAGGGCGAAGCCGCACGGCCCAACCGCGCTGCCGGAGGCTCGTGAGAAGCAAAATGCATCTCAGGTCCCTTGAGTAACAAGGGTGGTTCTCCAAACATCAGCTTTAAGGCTTCTAATGCAAACGATGTCAACAACAAAAGCTTTAAATAGCGAACTGCAAAATACCTATCATTTTTGCTCTCAGTAGCCATAATTAGAGGGAAAAAAATAAAGGAAGGTCCAGAAATTAGTTCAGAGAGCTCTGTTTGAAGCCTCCCGTCAGCATACTCCAGATTTCAGCTGGTTTTGAATATCCCAAACACATTTACAAGCCATTAAAAAACAAAAAAGTAAGTCTTTTTCTTCCAGAAACTTTGGCCCATCAAGAAAAATCCGTGCCACACCATGCAGAGCGCTCGGCACCGACGCGTTTTCGCAGGCGAGAGGTTGTGTATGTTAATAAAATAAAGCCGGTTCCAGAGCCCAGGCCGCGAGCACTCGGCGCCCACCAGGAGATCCCGGGGCTCCCACGCAGGCGAAGAGGGGGAAGGTGAACAGGAAACAAGAAACACAGCCGAGATACGACCAAACAGGAAGGAAACAAAGACAAAAACACAAAGAATATACATATACACATACAAATTAGACTGAAAAAAGGGAGGAAACAGAAGTGACTGAGAAGAGAGATGAGGTGAGGCTGAGCTAAAGGAAATGTCTTTTCCTATCTGGCCTGAACAGGGCGAGTCTCGCAGCAAGATACGGTCCTTTTTCTCTGCTGCTGCTCTCTGCCTGCCGGCCCCTCCGTGGGTCACGGATCCATTCCCCACGTGGCTGTTGTGGCATCAGGGGTTCACAAGGTGCCCCCAGACAGCCCCACGCTCAGCACGGAGGCAGCGCAGGCGGCAGCAGCCTGGGTTATTGGGGCAATAAAAGGCAGAGGGGCTGGTGGTCACACAAGGAACGGGCAGGATATGCAGCAAATCACAGGCTTCTCCTTGGAGCCTTCACATTAAACAAACATTTTCTGCGCTGCCCCAGTGCCCTGCGGGCACAGGGACTTCTAACTCCCACCACGGCCTGCTTGCTTCCCCAGCTAGGGATTTAGCTTTCACCCTGTACCTTCCTCCCACGCAGCTCCTGCCGCACGCGAGGAAAGCATCAATCCGAGCAGGGTGGCCCAAAGCCATTCCCCAAAGCCTCTCCCTCTGCCCAAGGCTGCGCTCAGCCTTCCTTGTGATCCGGCCTCGCCGCGGCACAAGGGATTTGGGGCCCTTCCACACACGGACACGTTTCCTTGCCCAGGTTTAGGGGACTCTTGTAGCACTAATCCATCTCCACGACCCTTTCCGGTGCTCCTGGCGCAGGAGCAGGGGACCTCTCAGGCACGTTCCCATCAACCACACGTTTCCATGAACCGTCTGTTGTTGTCACAACTGATTCATCTCAAACATTATTAGTCTTCCTGTAATTCTCTTTCACATTTTGGTTCCCTTTTGTTCCCTAAGGTCAATATGCTACTTCAGATCCCAAATTTCCATGGCTCCGGAGTACTGCAGAGATGGACACTGCAATTTCTCTCTTGCCCACGCTGGCTCCGGTGCGGCAGCAGCCCCGAGTGCTCCGCGGAGCCGTCTCGAGGCTCAAAGCCAAGGAGGTTTCACTCCCATAAGCAGGCAGAAATCCTTCAGGACGGAGGCTAATACAAGCCCCCAGATCGTCAAGCTGAGGGGTCGAGCCCGGCGCTCCAGCCCGGACAGACCGGTGCAGGTCTCAGAGCGGAGCCGGGCCAGGATCTCGCAAGGTTTGGCCTTGGCAAGGCCACCTCGGGCTTTCCAAACATGAAACCCCATTTTCCAGCCACCAGCTCTGCCAGAAGAAGGTACCACGGGCACATTCCCGCTCCGGGAGCGACGCGCGGCTCCGGGATGGGGCCGAGGTCACTGCGGCTGCGGCAGCCGCCTGCATTCTGCAGCTCATTTGTCTGCATAGGGGAAAGCTCGTTAAAACGCGTCAGGCAAACGTCTTAAAACAGTCACAATTTGTAACCTCTCTCGACAGACAGAGATGCAAAATACGACATTCTTCATAAAACTTTTCATCTTGGCTGTGCTTGAGAGGAACACAGTGAGCAGAACACATATGACACTAAAATACCACAAAAATACATGTGGAAAGTCTATTAAATGAGGAAGGCATAAATTGATTTTAGAGGCTTTTTTTTCCTCCCCTCAGCGCAGCAGCTGGAGACAGGGTAGCTCTGCATGGCTGCTTACCTTGTATCTTTTTTTACATCCAGGAACAGGACAGGCAAAGGGTTTCTCATCCCCGCCGTTCATGCACATGGAACTGAGGATGGCTTCGGAGCTGATGGCACTTTCCGTAGTCCAGGACTCGTCGCTGTCCGACTCCTCATAGTCTACTTCCTCTTCATCATATTCACTGCCTGGAAGAGCAGGGTAGCGACATAAGGCAAGGATAAAGTAAGAGTGCAGCAAGCCGACACATTCTGTATTTGTTGCAATTTCCCTACTTTTGCCTTACTTTGTGGGAAGACGGTTATTTTTAATTGTATAAAGCTGTCTTGGTTACAGTGATTTATTCCTACAGAAAGACACCAGTGGTTCGTTTTCTAGTGACCAAGACAGACATTTACATATTTTCATAAACAGCTTGTTGCGTGGCAGAATGTTCAAAGGACTGATTTAAAATTCAATTTCATTGGTCCTCAAACAACAGGATCCTTCCTTCTTTCGCAGTGCCTGAATAGAAAATGTTTATTTTTTTTCCCTCCTGCAATTAAAGGCAATTTTAAGGCTTTTCTTTATGCAATACAATACTGAAGAGCGTAATTCTACAGACCATAAACAGTGTAAAATAATATGTTGACAAGTCCTAATGCATTTACTAGCCCTTTGGAATTAATAGGAATTATAGCACAACATTAATAAGAATTATATTGTGGCAATTATAGTTGTGAAATTCATTCCCTCAGGTGTGGGGATAAATTGCATTGTGCTGCTGCCCTGAACAGACCACATTATGTTCCAGATACACCACGCCAGCCACTTGGGCAGCTGGTGCTGAGTTTATTTATGATTTTTAATTGCAACAGCTATTAATGAAATTCTCTGAAGAAGTTAAATGTGAAACAAGAGAAATTAGGAAAGCAGAATTCCAACTATAAAAATACAGTAAAAAAGCAGGGGAGGGAAGAGCCCCGGCTGATTAAAAAGAAAATACAGACGCAGAGGGAGAGGGCGGGATTGCTTGGGGGAGCGCGAGTCCCCCGCTCTGCTCGGCTGGATCCTTCCCGCTGGAAGATGCCGGAGCCGGGAGCGCTGGGGCAGCTCCCGTCCTCCCGGGCGGCTCTGCAGCCGAGCGGGAGGCCGGGCCGTTTCCCACGCGACATCCGGGAAGGCGGCTCGGCATCCCCGGCGCTCCCATCCACACGGAACGACCGCAGGCCAAAGGAAGCGCGAGTGACCTCTTACAGGATCCCGAGCTCCGGGAACGGCTAACCTGCACTGGAGAGAGGAGCTGCTACCCATTAATTAACTGACGAAAACATGGAGGCAAAACCACAGCTCCGCTTCCATGATTTCCTGCCCTTGATTGTATCTCAGTGGAAAAAATTCCTCAAGCTGCCCCTTGCAAGCCCTTCAGCCCTGTTTTGTTTTTTAAACAAACGCAATAGCAAAACCCACTGTAACTCCACGTATGCGTTTCTCGGATGACAAAACACACAGGAATCCTAGACACGGCCAGGAATCCTAGACATTTCTGCCCTCACAATCACCCCCCAAAAAGGAAGAAACCCAAATCTCCCTCACAAATAGCTCTGTATCCCGCCCAAGAAAATATCATCTAAGGCTGTTTAACAGCCACGAAGGATACACGTACTTTTAGGATCCTAGGATTTTAGGATTTGCTATGATAGCAATCTGTGCTCTCTATGCCATACTCCATATTATGTTTTATAAGGGAAAAAGATACTTAGAGTAGTAGGGAGAGCAGGTAATCATTATAATTATACATTTCCATAGGGGTTCCTCTACTTCGAAGGTGTCCTTTGAAATCCTTCTAATAACTTTGCACCAGAAGGTCCAACTCTACAGCAGCTTTTGTCCGTTTTTCACTTCCTAACCCCGGGTGCACTTGCTATTTCGTATATACTATTTCAGATATGACTGGCCACAGAAACTTCTCTTCCTGCAAAACAGTAATGCTGTTAAGGACACACTGCTTTATACGGACTGGGCGTTCCGAGGCCATCGCTCCTCTCCTCTAACCGCGTTCAACTGAGCTCAGCTGCTTCTGCTCCCTTAAAAAAAGAGATACATTTAAAAGGCTTGCGGTATAAACAATGTAAAAACTTTCTGTCTTAAAAAAATCATTAGCAATAAAAATTTATCCCTTAAACAATTCTGTTGTTTCAGTTGCCATAGAAAAACAACATTGATTTAGTCGGGCTTTTAACCGGTTCCCCTTCCGGGTTTAATTTCCGGGGCTGTCAGTGCCCAGGAGCAGCCCGCGCGGTGCCTCCCCGTCCGCGTGGAGGAAAGGTGGGAAAACCCCGGAGCGCAGCCCGCGGGGCGCTCCCAGCGCGCCCAGGTTGCCCAACTGGTACCCAGGCGAAGAAGGAAAAACAAAATACGTATTTTATATATACATATATATATACACATACACGTATAGATGTGACTGAGCCTTCAGAAGCCTGAAGAGCAATACCGAGTCCCCCAGGCTCGGCAGCGCTCACCTCCCTCAGATGAAGTGTCAAAGCCCCTGCAAGGGAACGGCTCCTGGCGCAACGCACGCTCCCCGCACGGTGTTGCACAAACACGCGCTGTTGTGGTTGTAACTCAACACGGGGTCTGCAGTTGCAGAGTGCTGCCTTCACCTCCCTCGCCGTTGGCAACGACGGTTTATCCTGCATCTCCTTGCTGGCTCAGGGCTTTTTGCCGTATCCAGTTTCATCATCTGGCTTTCATTCCCAGGCCCTATGCACTTCCACCTGGCCTGGCCTCGAGTCCAGGCAGTATCTTCTAAAGGGGTAAACACCATTTTCCCGCATGGCTCTTGCAGGCCATACTTCATCTATGCTGCCCCGGTAGATTCAAAGAAGTCAAAATAAAACACAGGCAAGCAGAGAACACCAGCTGTTTCTCCACTGTCCTCCGGGAATGTTCCATGCAGAGCCCGTGCCCTGGCCCTCAAGGGCAAGGTGGGCTCCAAGGCGGGGATGCGCTGGAAAGGGACAACGCTACGCTCATCCCCTATGGAAAACACCATCCTATGTCACCTATCCACGTGTCACCTCAAACTGCCAGTTAAAGAACGGGCAAGCAAAGACACACGAGGTCACAAAAGCACCTGGCAAGTCACTTCTCTGCATTTTTTGCTGCCTCTGAAGAGGAGCCATCGCATGTTAGCAGGCTGGCTGCATCACAGCAGTATTTGCCAAAAGAAAACACATGCATGGAAAGGGATTACGATCGCTGCCTGGGTACTAAAAGGTCTTTGTGGCATGATAAAAAGCCAAGTTGCACCATAAGGAGTTTTTCTACTGCTTTTTTCCAGCCAGTTTTGCTAGTGAAGTCAGTGAGAAACTCACTGAGCCCCAAAGCGGGGATCTGACTTCTCCACCACCTCTTCTTTTTCCAGCAGATTAAGGCAGCAAGTCAAATAGCTCAGGAACATTTTACAGGGACTTACTTAATCGTTTGACATTCTAGGACAGACAACTTCCCAGTTACACTGCTGCAGGTCTGGAGCTGCACACATGCCGCTGCAAGCGGGATCACATTCCTCCCTGTGGGTGCAGGCAGTTCCTTCCACCATGAGAGCTGCAGAGTATTTTTTTTTTATCCCTGAACTTTAAATGAATCTCGGTTCTAGCAGGTGCACATCATTAGCAGTTACTTAACTTGCTAAGCCGAAAGCCTCCTATGCTGTGCTTGGGAATATGGAAAGGACAAGGCTGATTAGAAACACCAGGAGCTGCGTGTACCATTACAGGGAGTATTTTGAACTACGATTAAGAACATGACGAGCTCTTCCTTTCTCCTCCCATGAAAGTAAATCCAAACCCCAAAACACCCTCGCCAGTTATTTCTGTGACCAGAACGCACGTGTTCGGGCATGCTGTGAATGAGCAAAGGGAACAGCTCCTGCAGTGGGAACCGGCACTGCCAGTGTCACCCAAAGTTCACGGTAGTTCCAATGATCGCCCATAAAAAACCAGCTTCACACTTTGTCCCGTGTGGGACTCGCAGTTTGTATTTCATGAAAACAGTTTTACGAGAGCACTTCTTATGTTAAGAATTTTGCCCCTCTATGTACTGCGACGGCTTCCTTGACACCAGAAGAACAAGCGAGTGAATCACTGGTACCGTGTGAGCGCGGGCGCAGCGCTGCGACACGCACACGGGTTCATTGAGCGTGTCCACACACGCTCTCCTCCGCCCTCGCCAGCAGGCACGGGGCTGATCCCACAGCTCTTGCTCACTGCTGACCCAAGGGCACATCAAGTCATTCAAAATGAAATATCCTTCCCCTACATAAAGCGCAGGAGATGGATGCTCGGAGCGGTGAAGCACCAAGCACTTGAACAGCATGTGCCACGAGCAGGAGCTGCTGTGGGTGGCACAACCTGCTGGGCTTGGGAAACGCTGGCAACAAATCCCAGATCCTGGCTCGTTCCAGTGGACTAACCTGGGGTTTTTAATTTGTCTCCTTGTTTTGGGTGAGAGGTCCATTCAGATTCATTTTTTCATTTAAAACAGTATTTATACAACCTGTATCCACAGACAATATAAAGTAAAAAAAACAAAAAACCTAACGGAGTGGTTGTGCTTTAGCCCCTAAAGGAACCTCTGGGTGAGCACTGAGCACCCCTTGGGGGATCTGGCTCATCGCTGCAAGGGCTGAGCCCGTTCTGCGGCCGCCGGGCCCAGGCAACTGGTATCTGGCTCCTCGCTGCAAGGGCTGAGCCCGTTCTGCGGCCGCTGGGCACAGGAAACTCTGCCAGGAGTTTTCTCCCTTACTCCAGTCCGTCTCCCTGGACCTCCCTCCTGAGGGAGGAAACACAAATCCCTTTTCCAAGGCAGCCGACAGCTCCGCGTGTCTGGAGGGAGCTGCCTGGGATGGTTACGGTTGGCCAAGGGGCACTTGTGGGGCTGGCAGAGACCTCCTCCCTCTCCACAATGACGGAAGGGCCACGGACGCAGGGTTAGGGCTCCACGCTGCCGGGTGCTCCCAGGACGGGCGCTCCAAGGACGGCGCTGTGAGACGCTGGTCAGGGCAGGATCGGGCCGGAAAAGCGACCTCTGGAGAAGCCTCCGAGGCCTCTTCAACACCGACCCAGGATCGAGCATGGAGCACCGAGCTGCTCCGGAGCTGCTGCTGATTCCCACTGCCTGTGCCTGGACCCTGAGCCGAGAT